TATGTAAAGAAAATTCAGGCCACACTTTGTTGGAGTAACATTGAAACAAATAATATTGTTAATGTACGAGAACACAGTATATGGAATCTTGGACTTCATCAATATATACAGAATTTATAGTAACTTAGATCTAAGAGTAATTACACTTCCATTTACATAGACTTCTGGTGTTCAGTCCTATTTCTTTAAAATAGAACATTGGTTCATAAACTTCAGCTCTGCCATCTAATAATGAAGTGAATATATTAGTCATTTAATTGAGTCATCTGATCTGATCATTCAGACACCCAAAAACAAGTTATTCTAACCCATAAACTGCCTTGGATAAGCAAATCAGATAGCTGACAAATTCTGCTTTGATTGTTATTTTCTTCTACTTTGTAATTTAAATGAGGAGTGATTTAAATGTTTTCCAAAGTGGAAATGTTTTAATATCAAAAGAGAAAAAATTATTTTCCAATGTTTCAAAACAGCACAAATGATAGAAAATTTAAGTAATTGCGAGTGTTATGTAGATTAATTGCAACTGGGTAACAGCAATATTCAGTTTCTCTCAGAAGAATTAAGCCAGTCACTTAATTCCAGTAACATTTGAAGCTACTGCTCGCTTTCTAAATATTTTAGAGATATACTAGCAGAATTCAGAATTTTTCTTGAAGCTTCACTATGTTTACAAGTTTTAATTTCATTTAAGGCTGACTGCAATTGCATTGTACTTATTTGTGAGTTAGAATATTTAGTATACTGGGGCCTCCCTGGTGGCACAAGGGTTAAGAGTCAGCACTATGAAGCAATCCGCAGCCACTGCAGCCACTGCAGCACGAGTTTGATCCCCGGCCAGGGAGGTAACCCACATGGCGCAGCAGACCTCTTCTGACTCGCCTGCTGTATTTCAGTAGATCTGCCTGTTCTGCTCCCCACTCTGTCTCTGGTGAATCCTCTCCCCCCTCCAACCCCAGCACTTCTGGCCGGTACCCCAGTTCTTGTATGCGTAAATAGTTTTTTTTTAAAAGAATACTTAGTATACTTTCACAGCAAAAATATCATAAGTGGTTTGATTCAACTTAACTGTAATACATTTTTGTTCCTAGAGCCCAGGTAATAAATAGAAATTCATGTATTAGTTGTAAACTTTCTTGTGTTCCTAACAATGAACAGAACTATTGACTGAACCTTAATCTCTTCACATATATATTATTTTTTGTATTTGCTGTCATTCTTCATCTTTCCCTAAAATTCCCTCTATATGAACTGTAACTGTGTGTCCATCTTTGAGCAGCTAATATCCTCCATCCTCTTTTATACCCCCTTAAGAGGGCACCCCATTTTTTAGGATAGACAAGGTGTATACTAAAGCCTTGCATCTTGTTCTTGCACTCGAAAGAACAAGGTGAATTATCTGTTTCAAGCAAATCTTATCAGCAAGAATTCCTTTCTAGTAACTGAGCATTTTCTGTCCATGGCAAACCAGGTAATTCAGGACATTATCTCATGTTACAGATAAGAAGTTCATGTCAGGCTTATTCCACAGGACTGTATTAATGGTTCCTAAACCTGGCTTTGAATAAGAATCACCTGGGGATCTTCACAAAAAGGCAGATTCCACTGTCTCAGTTCATTGTTTTAGCTCAACTTGCCAAGAATGACTGGTCAGTTGACAGTTAAACCCTATGGTGGCCCATACTAAGTGAAATTAAAATGCCAGATCTCCTTGGCATACTGAATAGGAAGGTATTGACAAAGACTCTCTCCTTGACCTATATAGTCAGGGTACTCTGAGTCCCTTTTTCACTAGGCCCACCCTTAGACATGTCCTCAGATGTAGCAGGAATCTGTCCAGTTAGTGTAACCAAAATTCCCAAAACTCAGTATCTGATTGCCCTCAGTGCCTGGACCAATTTCTCATCCCCCAGGTAACATCTGATGACCTTGGCCAACCTTCAGCAAGAACCCTGCTGGGTCACTTTAGCAAGAATTACCCTACCCTCTTAGAAACTTTTCCTCCACTGACCCCCTCTCAACTCTTGGCTAAAAACCCCTCATCAAGAACTTACAAGATGCAAGGGTAGGATTCCCACATTTCCTTTCAGTTGGCCTAACTGGCCTGTGCAAAAGATGGTGTGTCTTGGAGAATAACATTGGATAATCACTGCAATTGCAGCTGCTATTCCAGATGTGGTTTTGTTGCTAGAAAAAACCAACATATTCTGTGGCAACCGGTATACAGCTAGCATCGCCAGTGAATGCTCTTTCTCTTTACCTATTAGTATAAACCTCCAGAAATAGCTTGTTTTCAACTGGAAGAGCCAGTCAAACATTTTCACTGTCTTACTTCAGAGCTACGCCAACTCAGCCTTATATCATAGTCCCCAAGGACTTTGATCAACTATGGTAAAAAGTCCAGTGTGACCTGAAATAGGCCGATTTATACCTTTTGAGGGGAAGGTTAAGTTGCTGTATCTGGCATCTACTACTACTAAGAAAATGACATCATGATCGAAATGAATACATTTGTGTGTATATTAAAATCTGTGTATTAAAATTCTTTCCCATTCTCTTACAATTTAACATGAGATATAGTAATAGTCTTTAATCTTATACTTTGTTTATGTTATAGGCCATAAAATAGGGAGTGTAATTTAGTTAGACAAGAACATTCAGCTGTAATGAATGTCACCCAAAGACAGATAAAGGGACTTTCATCCTTTGGGGGAGAAGGTTCACCTGTTTACAGCTGTACAAAGGATCCCTGTATCATGTTAGGTGGAAGACTGCTTTTGCTATGTTGTCTTTATTTATAAATTAATTATGGCTCTGACGTCAAGTTAACAAGGAAAGGACTGTGGCCCTTTTTCACTGTAACAACTTAGCTAAGTTGTAACTGCATTTCCCAGAATTTCTTTCCCTGTATGCTTTTGGGTTAGGGTTAGCTAGAAGAGAAATCTGTAAGGATTTGGAAGGGAGAAGTGGAGCAGTAGTGATTACTCTCTGAAGGTCACTTGCTAAAGCGGGGTAGGAGCTGGCCTGCAGTTCCTTCAGCCACCTCCGAATCTCCTGTACTTTCCAGTCCTGCACGGTGTAGGTGCACGGCAAGGTGAAGGGCACCTGTGGCTCCAGCAGAAAAACTTGCAGCAAACTGAACACTGATTATCTGGTGCTGGGAGAGGGGAGTAACCAAAGTCATATACTTTTATGTAACATTTCATTTTTTTCCATGATGTTTTTAATCAGAAAGGTACCATAAATATAAACTAACTGAGAGATATAGAACATATGGGGAGAGAGAAAGAGAGAGAGGAAAACAGAGAGAGAGACAGAGAGACAGAGAGGGAGAAAGGACCTTCACTAACTTCCTTTGTCTATATAATAATATTAAAGTCAGCCTGGATGTGAAGCTCTGAACTATCAGATATTAGTGCACTTTTCCAACTCTACCTGCCACTTACTACACGCTCTATTACTGAATTCTTCCTTTAACTTTTGTCTTCCTTTAGCAATTAGGTGATACTCTGTTCTCTTCAGAAGCCATCTCTCTTATGTCCAAATCATACTTGTATGTCACAACCCAGTCAAATTGCTGCTACCTGTGTGGACGTGTGACAGGTCCCACAACTGTTTTGTTAAAACCTGGCTCAAAAGAGGAAATGAACTCTTTCAAGATTCCTCTGAGAAACTCATTAATAAGAAAATAAAATTTTGAACTATGGTTCCAACTTAAGTCTCTTGTCCTCATCTATATAATTTTGTTTGTATATTGCATTGGGTCCAAAATAAGGACCCTTTGCCTACAAGTATACCCAGTTATGAAAATTCAGGAGCTAGTCTCCATTCTTGAGGCAGATTAAATGGGAGAACTTTAAAAAATTACCAGAATAATGAGCATTAATATTTTGAGCTGAAACAAAAGAAATTTATTTTCTTCCAGTTCTGAACTTTTTTTTTTTTTTTAACAGAGCATTTTAAAAAGACTTTATGACTTTATCTCACTGCGTTATAAATTGTACATGATAGCAAGTACTCCCATCTAGGGCCAGTTATGTAATTTGCAGGGCCCAGTGCAAAATAAAAAAATGGAGAACTCTTGGTTCGTAAATTATTAAGAATTTTAAAGCGGTGATAGTAGATAGAGCATTAAACCAAGTGTACGACCCCATGAAACTGTACAGATAGCAAGTCCGGAGATTGCCCTGCTTCCAGCCTGTATGTAAGAAACAGGTTCACTGAGATCAAGTAAACTCCCACAGTTACTTTATCAAGAGCTGGGAAAATGTCAAAGCCCGAATTCTGGGTCTGCCCCCCACCTAGTAGCGCTCCTCAATTATATTATTTTTTTTCTATTGAGCTGAATCTAATGCAGACACTCCAAATTTATTAAACACAAAACCTGCCAGTTCCTTTTCCTCTCTAGTTCATCCCTGTCACTCCAGGTGTTCAAAAAAAAGCATTTACAGAATATTTTGGTATGTTCTATAGTGTTGTGATGAAGCAGCAAACTGTCTTGTTTGCCTTTGAGTTCTTTCTGCACGTTTCCTCCTGCAATTTAAGGAAAATGCAGACATGTCTTCGTGTGTGTCAATGGAAGGAACTTTAAAAAATGTACCATAATGGCAGAAATTGATAGAAAATACTGCAGGGACCTTCTCATTGCAACCCCAAAATAGTACATCAAGCCTTCGTTTTGTTTTTCAAGTGACTCCTGGAACTCATTTAAATGGAAACCACTCAAGCTCCAGCGTCAAGGAGAGCTGCCTGAAGGTGAACGGACAAAAAAGAAGAGGTCACGAGCGGGAGTCCCACACCTCAAAAACGCGGCCTGGAATGCGCGCCTGCGCAGAACGAATCCTCCTGCGCAGAGCCGGGCCGGAAGGGGTTGGGCCTGGCGGGGGCGGGGACAGGGTTGCTAGGAGAACGCGATGACGCTACGACCTCCGCGCTCTTCTGGGCCAATGGGTGCCGCCTGCTGGTGGTGACGCGCCGTGCGCGTCGCACTGACGTCGCGCGAAGGGCACTGATCTAAGGGCCGGGAGGACGTTCGGCCTCTGTGAGCCGCAGCCTTCCCCGGGAGAGGTTGTGATTTCGCCATCTTAGGGTGTGAGTGTGACCGGCCTTCCCCGCGGAGGGTGGGTGCGGGCGGCGGAGCGCGGAACCCCCTGTGGGGCTCCGCTCTGGCTGGCTGCCCCGGCGGGCGCGGCCTCTTTGACGAAGGCGCCGTGACCTCGTCAAGGGCGACGAGGCGGGAGGCCTAGGTCGGGGTCCCGGGGCTCGGCGGGCCCTTCCGCTTTCTCTGACCGCGACCCCCTGTCCCCCCAGGAGGATGTTCTCGTCCGTGGCGCACCTGGCGCGGGCGAACCCCTTCAACGCGCCCCACTTGCAGCTGGTGCAGGACGGCCTCGCGGGCTCGCGCAGCCCCGGCCCGGACGCGCTTCCCAGCCAGCCCCGCCGCTCCCGCACCCTGGCGGCCGCCGCGGTGGAAGGTGAGCACAGCCCCTGTCCCGGCGCGGCCCCCGATGCGTCCGCTCGGCCTGGGGGGCCTGGCCGGGCCCGGAGGGCGGGGAAGGACCCCCCGACCCGCCGCGCGCCCGCACGCTGCCCGCTGGCTCGCCCGGGGATGTCAGCTCTAGGCGGGGTGTCGGCCCCTGGGCCCTCCCCCAAGGGCGTGGAAAGACCCAGGCTCAGGTCTCCGTGACCTCCGCGTCCTCGAGGGAGTGAGACCGTGGCAGGCTCCTTATCTGCAGCGCGAGCCCGCTGGGTCAGCAGACTCGCGTGTTGCATAGTCTCCTTCTCGAGCAAGGCCCTGGTCGCCCGCAGTTTCTCACTGCACCGTCTTTTCTTTTCTTTCCCTTTTTTCTTTTTTTCCTCTGAAACTCCTGAAGTAGTCCCTAAATTGACAAGTTAGGGAAGATGAGTGGTTGTTAGGGGAGGTAATCCACTTGGTGGGGAACGCCAAAAGGGAGTTGATAGGCAGCCCTTCTCTATTTATTCTCCCTCGGGATTCCTGGCAGGTGCCCTAACTTTAACTGTTTTCAATCCCAGGGGAGTGTTTGTACCTGAAAACCCGATTTGTAGGAGTCCTGAAAATATTATCTACATCGTGCCTGTAAAAGCCTGATTAAAAAAAAAAAACAAAAAAAAAAAATACATATATATTTTTGTTTTGTTTCTGTTTTTGTCTTTAATTTGGGTAAAAACCCTTCTATCGTCTTTCCACCCTTCTATTTTAAAAGTTGACGGTAGCATCATTATAGTAAATGTATTTGATTGCAAAGATTTACTTAGTTTATTTTGTAGGAATCCATTAGTGGGATATTACTGGTTAGTAGCTGGGGTAAACTTGGAAGTTGTATGCAAGTTTTTGTGTCAAGTGCTCTTTCTGAGCTTCATTTCTATTCTGATAAGTTTTTATTAGCACTTAGTAATTAGAAGTTTGATTTTAATTGGAAGATCCATTAATGTTGAGAATTTTTATTAATATGGCAAATATATAGCTAGTATCTCACAACTAGAACCTTCATGATTTTAAAATCATTGTTTTTATTTTGTCACTTTCTTGTTAATTGCACTAGGTGGAAAATCATTTTTCAAGTTAAATTATAAACCGTCGCCAGAACTGTGACAGTACTGTTTTACAGGGAAATGGTTCTCCTTTCCATTATCTTAGTCATGTCTGAAGAAATACTTACTTTATTTTTTTTTTCCCATTCAAACAGAACAGTATAGCTGTGAATATGGATCTAACAGATTCTTTCTCCTTTGTGGAATTGGAGGAATTATTAGCTGTGGCACAACACATACAGCATTGGTTCCTCTAGATCTGATTAAATGCAGAATGCAGGTTTGTTTTGCATGTTGGTCTAAAGAAAGCATATTGTTGAAGCATGGCTGTTGTAAGATGTAGTCATCTACTAACAAGCTGTGTGGAAACCTAACTTTCCAGGAGGTAAGTTGATAACCAGTAACATGAGTTTTGTATTAAAATGCATGGTGTGTCTTGTCTTACTACAGAATACAGTTGTGAATATGGCTCCATGAAGTTTTATGCACTGTGTGGCTTTGGTGGGGTCTTAAGTTGTGGTCTGACACACACTGCTGTCGTCCCCCTGGATTTAGTGAAATGCCGTATGCAGGTTTGTATTGTGATGGCAACATTGAATGTGTCTTTTTTTCATATGACTTAATTTCAAATAACTTAAAAAGACTTCACAATTGAGAACCCTGAATTTCTTTAACTTGCAGACTTTATTAATAGTAATAAACCTTCAATTTCTTTAACTTACAAACTTTAAGAGTAAATCCTGCGTTTCTTTAACCTAATGGACTTTATTTTAAATCCAAGAAATCACCTCTTTTAAAATAGTGGGTAGATTGTTGGATTTCAGACTCTTGCTATAAATGTTTTTTTACTGCTTGGCTCAATTCCGGCTCGAGTTCCTCTTCAGGGTCTACTGTTTTTTATGTTTCAGGTAGTCATTTTATAAGCAATTACATGTCAGAGTGGGTAATCAATCCTTGTGAAGTAACTTGTCTCCTATTTACTAATAAGATTAAGGCAGAGAGCAATATGTAGATTTAAAACAAAAATACTCTCAGCATCTTAATATTAAAAAATGTGGGTGTAGCTTCTTGTATATTATGTAGAAATTTTTACATTTAGAATATCTTTAGAATTATTGAAACAAAAATAATCAAACATAAAACATTTATTTGTCCCAAACAGGATTAGAAGTCTACTTACCTAAAAGAGAAAGGAAGGTGAAATATTATCAGGGAGAGGAAGGTGACGTATACCAGCCCCTTCTAGTAATGACAGAAATAGTGATAAGATTTCTCCCCATTAGTTAATGGAATGGATATGAAATATATCTTTGCTAAAACATCTTGTGCATGTTTCTTGAAGTGAATTTAATTTCTTAAAGGACAGAACCTCACTATTGGATATACCTTTTAAGCTTGTATTTAGTTTGCCTTAAATTCAATCTTTATAGTATAATCTACTTAATGGATTAGCATATATCAGGGATATATAGATTATATATAGTCTATATATAGACTTATTTGTAGACTTATATATATATAGGCTATATATAAGCCTTATTTTTTTCTTTGGGCAGTAGCTTTAAATTGAAGATTTTTAAAGTGCTGGATTTGGGTGGTGTGATATCTCTTTAAAGAGTCAGTTTTATCATGTATTTTAAAAGGAATTTTACCCTTATTAATGCTCTAAGACTTAAAAGTTTGACTTAAAGAAAACTAGACCTTAATGTACAGAAAGCTGCATTTATAAAAGTATGACTGTTATAAGATGTAGTCATCTACTAACTTGTATTACTTTTTATTTACTTACTGAAGTTTATTTTAGAACCAAAAGGAAAATAATGAAATTTAATGATTATGACAAGTACTAACTCTGTGGTACATTTAGTTGTTTTTTTTTTTTTCTTTCTTCTTTTGAATAAAGGTGGACCCCCAGAAGTACAAAGGCATATTTAATGGATTCTCAGTTACACTTAAAGAGGATGGTGTTCGTGGTTTGGCTAAAGGATGGGCTCCGACTTTCATTGGCTACTCCATGCAGGGGCTCTGCAAATTTGGTTTTTATGAAGTCTTCAAAGTCTTGTATAGCAACCTACTTGGAGAGGTATTTAATTTAACTTCAACAATTCTAAACTGTTAAAGACCAAAAAGGGACTTACTTTAGAATTAAGGAAATGGTCTCAGAAAGTGTAAGCGAGTTTCAAATCATCTGGCTGTTCTAGTAGCAGAGACAGAATGAGAGAAAGAAAACGTCCTTAGATATCAGGGCTTTTATTATGCTGCTTTCCAAATAAGTTAGATTTTGAGTTTCTGGGATTCCTTTGTAGTTGAAGGGCCAATTATACTTAACATTTAGATGTTCAAAAAATGCACTGTACTGTGGTTGATGAGGTTACAGGAGAATACATAATAATCCTTAATACTGTGTATGATGCATGGGCTGTGGTAAAACACTTCTAAAATGTAGAACTGTCCTTAAAGTTAAATTGAAAACAGTCAATGTAGCAGCAGTTGATGTCCCTCTGTATGTTTTTCAATTAGGAGAACACCTATCTCTGGCGCACATCCCTGTATTTGGCTTCCTCTGCCAGTGCTGAATTCTTTGCTGACATTGCCCTGGCTCCCATGGAAGCTGCTAAAGTTAGGATTCAAACCCAACCAGGTTATGCCAACACTTTGAGGGATGCAGTTCCCAAAATGTATAGGGAAGAAGGTTTAAATGCGTAAGTAAACATTTAACTAAATCTATAGTACAAAATTACTTAATGAACATTTAAGGAGGGAATGAACATTTCTTAGTGTTAAGTCTTCCAGACTTTGTTGGGTTTTTTCCCCCAACTTAAGTCTTTTAATGTTTCCCTCCTACATGGGACATAGACTCCAGGGGCAAGGATAAATTGATAGATGGCTTTAGCCCTGAATTTAAGATTTTTTTCTAAAGTAAGAACTATTTTTTCAGTCTACAAATGACTTAGTGTATTTAACCTAAATGCTAACCATTAGCTTTTGAAGAGGACTTGTTGGAATTCTTGTCCTCTGTAGTCAGTCACAGTTAAACGTTGCTTATAGTCCACACTTATTTGCATAGAAACCACAACATGCTTCCTTAGATCCACCTTTGTGGGTGTCAGTCTTGAACTCAGTGCTACTCGTAAACTTAATGTTTCTTGTAGCTCTAGTCAGATAAACACCCAGCAACTTTTTTGGTTGTATCGTCAAAGGTGCTTGAGTCATGGGCATGTGAGAAAAATATACCTGCATGTTAGTCTTATGTCCTGATAGAAATGGCATGCGATTGTGCTGACATATTTGACTATCAGGACTCGACTGGTGTGCGGACACTCTTGTTAATGATGAAATATCTGTTTGGTGAATGTGTGCAACTGAGTAAAGTCAGTCTCCTGATTTCCTAGATTCTATAAGGGGGTTGCCCCTCTCTGGATGAGACAGATCCCATACACCATGATGAAGTTTGCCTGCTTTGAACGTACTGTTGAGGCATTGTACAAGTTTGTGGTCCCCAAGCCCAGAAGTGAATGTTCGAAGGGAGAACAGCTGGTTGTAACATTTGTGGCTGGTTACATAGGTATGGATTATTTAGATTACACTTGTCTATGGTTTTAAAGATAGTCATTTCATTATTGATCTCTTGTGAGATAAAAACACTTGATATATAAGTGTTGATTAAAATCTGAATGTAAGATTTTTGAATCTTGAATTACGGAGCATAGATAGATTGTCTTATATTCTCTCGTGATAATCTTTAAACCTGGTACTTTTTTCAGAGTGAAAGAAAATTTTATTCATTAAAAAAGGTTGTTGACCATAATACAATTTTTTAAAATTGATTCCATATCCTATCATTTGTTCTGACTTTTTTAGCTGGAGTCTTCTGTGCAATTGTTTCTCACCCTGCTGATTCCGTGGTATCTGTGTTGAATAAAGAAAAAGGTAGCACTGCTTCTCAGGTCCTCCTGAGACTTGGATTTAGAGGTAGGATTTTGTTTCTCTTCTACAGGAAGAATAACATTTGGTGGGTGTATGTTTCAGGTAAATTTCATTCACGTTTCCTGTTTTAACCAGGTGTTTGGAAAGGACTCTTTGCCCGTATCATCATGATCGGCACCCTGACTGCCCTGCAGTGGTTCATCTACGACTCTGTGAAGGTCTACTTCAGGCTGCCTCGCCCTCCTCCACCTGAGATGCCAGAGTCTCTGAAGAAGAAGCTCGGGTTAACCCAGTAGATGATCAAAGCAATGTGGACTGAATCTGCTTGTTGATCAGTGTTGACAAAGTGCAAAAGGAACTTTTATATATATTTGACAGTGTAGGAAATTGTCTACTCCTGATAACATTACTGTAGTGCCCTTGCATAAGGCAAGAGTTTCAAAGTTACTATTGAAATAAACCCAACTGCTCATGATTGGTCTGTGACTTGATAATTTTTTGGTAATTATTTTTTAACACAAGTTTTTAAAGATTTAATCCTAAAATGGAAAGAAGTTAACACTTCAAAGAAACGTCACGGAAAAAAATGCAAACTAATCACTAGTGATTGAAGATGCCAATCTCTATTCATAAACTCATATGCCTCAAGTTTTGTTACTAGAGAGTTCCTATATTTTTAGGAAATACATCCTGAATTTTCAGAAACTTTAATTGTAGCTCGATTTAGATACCTTCATCTGTGGTATACTTTGACAAGTAAATTTCAGCATATAACCAGATTTTTGCACCATGTACCACTATTTTCAATCCCAATGTGTTTCCTAATCCATATTGCAAAAGAAGGTAATCTAAGGCTGAGTTTAGAAAAATGGTCTTTTAAAGGGCCAAAGTGATAGATAAAAACCATTTCAGGTAACCTCTTTTCACACAAATCATATTAAGTTAACAAAACATTAACCTTAAATTGTCTTAAATTGTGTTTTTGGGAAAGGTACCTACTTGGTCAAATAGGTGACTGGGAGAGCAGCTCTCCAGCATATTTGAGCATCTGAAATTTTGTTGTGGGTTTAAGCCAAACTGATTTTTTAAAGCTCCTAGCAAGTAAGCCACTTTCTTTCATTTTCCTTAATGTTTCGTTAGGAAGTAAGAAAATCTAATGTGTAATAGTTAAAATTTTTAAGATCCAATTACATTTTACTGTGAGATTTTGGGGTTACTATTTATAGGTTGGATTGATCCCTGTGTTAGGTCTAGTTTCAGAAAAAAAAACTTCCAAGAAATTTTAATGTTTTCATTCCCAACTAATATTTGTAAGGTCAGTGAACTAAATTAAAAAACTAGATCCTTCTGGTCATATGTTAACTTCTTATGACTTGGTATGGTCTTGTTTAAGGATCCAGTGATTTTTACCCATGTTGCAGCGAGAAAGGAAGAATTATGGGAGCATATTTGAGCCAAACTGTTAACTAGGGAGAGAGCAGTCTGAGTCCAAGTGATGGCTGTGGTGTTAAGCACCACCGCTGCACTAGTTCCTGCTATATAAAAGATGAAATGTAATAGCATGAGACAATATAATCTCAAGCTTTATGTGGAGCGGGAATTTGTGAGCGAGCTTATCTTGGGTCTTCTGTGAAGTTAAAATAGCTTTGTGGTCATGCATCCCCATTAAAGAGATTTTCTGAGTTTTTTCCGTTAGTGACCATCTTTTTATAAGACCAATGAATTTGGTGGCATTAGGGCAGCTGGATGTAACGCATTACGAGGCTCCAAAGCAGAGCCAGGCAAACTCAGGACTTAGCCTTGGAAATCACATGGCATCACTTGTCACATCCGAAGGTCAAATCTCAGCTGCAGGGAAAAGAAACACTACTTGCTAGGAAAAGTGTCAGTTACATTGTAAATGGAGCCTGAAGGTTGGCTATACTATTTTAGGCCACCTCAGAAGTGAACTGTAGGTCTGAAATCTATTCAGGGTTTGCAGTTGAACAAACTATCAGGCAGTTGAACCTTGTTGGATTCAAGTTTTATTTTCAAGAGGGACAATAGGTTTTATTTGTGGATACTGATAAAGTATGCTGTATTCAAGTTGAGAATTGCTTGTTAACATACATTTCATGGATTCTGATAGTCTTCATCCTCAAAATTCAAGTACAATGCATTTTAAGAAGATGTGAATTCCCATTTCACATTGTAAAGATTAACTCAGACTGAAAACAATTTTAAAAATTTTGAGTGACATTTTTTCATATTTTATTTAGTATCAATTCTATAAAGATAACTCAGTGGGATGAGTATATGTGATTAGTTTGATTAAATTATGCTGTAATTCTAGGACAGAATAGCATTGCATAGATTTCCAGAGTGAGCAATGTGATTCAAACAGCCTTAAGTGCAGTTAAACTCAGAATTCTGATTTTGCTAAACTGTATACCTAGTAAATGTAATAAAATTGAATAGAAAGGTATAGCATAGCCAAATCTCTGTTTTGAAAGTTTCATTGAATGTGTTGTCCACATACTGAAATGAGTTTGACATCTTTGTAATACCATCTTTGGGCTAAATAGTAGTGTCCATCCACAATGTTCATGAAGTTTGGTGCATGGCAGTCTTGCTGAACCAGGAGTTATATAATCTTTAGCGTAAGAAATCATTATTGATAAAATTTGTGTCATAAATCACAAACTGATTATATTAAAAATCTTAAATAGCACATGGGTAAGAAATTGAGTCCAAGCCTGAGGAATCTTTCACATTTGAATGCTGTGCCTCTCCTGAAATATCCCAGAATGATCTGGTAACTTAAGACAACTACTAACAGCTTTTACCTCAGATAATAATATATTGAAAAAATAACATATTAAGTTTCTTTCTGCAAGCCTGCCTGACCTCACATTTCAAAAGTGCCAATAGGAGTGTATGAGTGGTTAACCTCACCATTGGTATAGTGTATATTTATTTTTTGGTTATTAAAATGTATCTTGAGTTTCCTAGAAAGTGGCTATTCCAAAGTTTGCACGTGTTTTTCTGGACTCTAGTGTTGTATGGGTTCAGGCAGTGTCACACACACACACACACACTCACACACACACACAATTGGTTCTCTGGGGGTTTTCTTAGAATGCAAGTTTTGATAATTATGACTCTTTTTCAAATAGGACATGGATATACATAATCCTGGTCAGTAGTTTGGAGAAGGCCAACCACGTCAGAGCCCAAAGATTGGGGATGAGCCACTTGGTGTAAAGAGTCATACTCTTTGAGGTAACTAATTCAGCATTTGGATACCCTTTACATTTGGCATACAAAATGGGTTAATGCTTTGTGGTTTTATTTTTAGATTATTCTTTTTGTTTACTATGTTGAGGACTGGTTGATATATATAATAAATTGCATGTATTTAAAGTGTACAATTTGACGAGTTTTGACATGTGTATATGCCCGTGAAACCATCATACAAAATAATAAACATCTCTTACCCCTTAAGATTTCCTTGTATCTTTATATTTCCTTTCATCTCTGTCCCCAGGCAACCACTGATCAGCTTTCTGTCCCTATAGCTTAGTTTGCCATTTCTAAAATGTTATATAACTGGAATTGCTAGGGCTGTTTTCAGTTTTATTTTTAAATTAAAAAAATTGAGGTATGAGTGGCTGTTTTAGGTGGACAGCATGATGATTTGATATTTATAAATATTGTGCAATGATTACAGTAAGTCTACTGAATATCTGTAGGCATGCGTAGTTAGAAAATGTTTTTTCTCTGTGTAAGAACTTTTACGATCTACTCTCTCAGCAACTTTCAAATATGCTCTACAGTATTCGTAACTCTAGTCACTATGCTGTAGGGCACATCTCCATGACTTATTTTGTAACTGGGCCTTTGTACCTGTCTCCCTTCACTCATTTACCCCACCCCTTGCTAATGCTATTTTAAAATGCCTCTAGTTACTTTGGCTGCTACTGATGGCATCATTACACACACATTGTACTGCTTTGAGGCAATCTCCATCCATCTCAGGCTTGGCCAGCAACTTGGAATTTGCATCTCCCCCTCACCCCAATTTTGCTCTGGATTCCCTTCCTAGGTTATATACCTTTGGCTTTAGATCATTTGCAAAAGTCACTGTCTTTAGAACTTTAGCTCTGTCACATTCTTAGTAACCTTTCCCCTATATGCTAAAACCATGAAGGACCTAGGAAGGTTTCTGTGATCCTTTTCCTGCAGCTTCCTGGCTATGACCTTTCTAGTTTCAGTTCCTCTGCAAGGATAATGAATGCTACAGCCCTGACCCTGTGGGGCAGTTCTCCAGTTAGGGCCCTAGTCACACACACTGTGCTCCCTGACAGTCAGTGAGGACAAGCACTAGATTGGCAGATCCTGCTTATGTAACTCTGTGTGTGTGTGTGTGTGTGTGTGTGTGTGTGTGTGTGTGTGTGTGTGTGTGTAACAGTGCATGCTGGGGAGAGGGAAAGAAGGCTGGGGAGTACATGAGTTTCTTTCTATACAAAGTTGCAAAGATCTATTTTAGTGTATTTTAGAAAACCAAGCGCTCAACTCATAAAAATTTTATTTTTACTGTACAAAATAGAATCAAATACAAAATGGTATTTACGCCAAAGTTTCATTATTTCTCACTTACCAGTCTTTTTATAACATGACAGAGGTCCCCTTTAAAATAAAGATTTTAACTTCTAATCTAAATAATTTCAAACTAATCCATATCTGAAATGTGTGTTATTTCATCTTTTATATCTTTAATCTCACCTCGGACTATTGTCAGATTAGATATTTTTTCATTTAAGAAAGCAATTTCCTTCTCTCTTTGGACTAAGTCAGTAACCAATCTCCCAATGCGAAGTGTTAAGTCATTTACCAATGGTTCCAAGCGGGAAAAGTCCTTCTTTAGGTTATACACCTTTGGCTTTAGATCATTTGCAAAAGTCACTGTCTTCAGAATTTTAGCTCTGTCACTTTCTAAGCTTAAAAACCTATCTGTGTGCTTGTTGAAATCACTTGTTAGCTCAGAAAGTACCTTCTTCACAGAGTTAATTCTTTGTGAATTTTCAGATGCTGTCTTTCGGAGCATTGCTGTTCGGTCAATGCTACTTGACAGAAGATCACCTATGTTTTTTACTGTATTTTTTTCTACTTTCTCTATTTTATTTTCTAGTTCTTGCACAGAATCTGTCAACGTTGTTACATCAGTTACTAGACCCGAAATACGTCGGATATCTGTTTTTACAGTTGAAATCTTGAGTCCAACATTTTTCGCCACAGAAGTTGTGCTTTGGTCTACTTTTGTAACATCTTCAAAAAGAGCAGTCAAATTGTTTTTCAGTATATTCTGTTTTTCAGTTATCCCACTAGACCAAGTTTTTACCTCATGGATTTCCTTCTGTAGACGCTTTAGATGAGCAATTATTTGTAAAGACTTTAACTGTTCCATCATAACTTCAGACTTGTGACACTGTAAGAAAATATAGTAACAAGGATTAAATTGATTAGAAGTTTAATATTGACATTTCAACTTAAATTTTGTGTGATTTTTAACTGTGGCTTTACTGTCTGGAAAGCATTTGGTGAAAGATGTACTGGGTGACCAGTCCTATGTTCAGCAACAAAATGAGCTAAACAAAAAAGGGTGAGGTGTTTTTTAGTTGCTGGAGAAGGGAGGAAGAAACTTCCTCCAGAAGAGTTTTGGTAGATTTGGGGGAGTCAAACAGGGTAATACAACTTCTATTTTTTTCTAAGATTTATTTATTTATGCATACAAGAACTGGGGTGCAGGTCAGAGGTACGGGGTGTGACAGGATTCACCAGAGACAGAGTAGGGAGCAGAACAGGCAGATCTATTGAAACACACTACTGAGGGGAGCAGTGGGCGAGACAGGAGAGGGCTGCTGCGCCATGTGGTTTAGCTCCCTGGCTGGCCACAGGGGAGCTGCAGTGGTTGGCTGGCTGGCCTGGCTGACCATGGCTTGATAGCACTCTCTTTAACCCCTCTGTCACCAGGGAGGCCCCCTAATATAACTTCTAAAATATAAGTTTGTATTTATCACAAGTGCTACAACAAGGGACTAGTGTCCAGGACTCTAGTATATGCTCTACTGTCCAATACTTTATGAGCAATTTTCTGAGCCATAACAATCCATGACCCCTTGAAAATTAAATTCATTTAATTAAGTTGCCAAATGCTGTTAGGCATGCCAAGGGTGAGAAATTAAGAATGAGTACAGCTTCCATTGTGGCCTCAACACAGTTTAATAGTTTAGTAGAGAGGATAGATACGTAAAAAATAAAACCAAAACACCAAACAAATTCTGTCTCCAAGGTTCTAAAATTCTATGATTACAAATACAAGTGGTTCTCAATTTTTGCATACTTTCATTACTATCCTTCTTCTCTACTGTCCACTGTATACTGATACCTAAATTATCATTTTGGTTAATTTGATGAGTATTCTGTACTACACAACTGCTAGACAATATTTCAAGTTGTTTTAGTGCTGGTGGTGTATGTGTTCTTTTATAACATTATTAGGATTAGTTGACTCTTTTATCATGTTTTTGAATATTTGAAAATCCGTACCCTCAGTTAATAAAATTAAAAGGGAAAAATGACTGATTTTAGTGATAAGATAGTTACATTTCATAAACAATACAGAATTGAAACAAAGGTAGAAATTGTCAGGTGAGACTATTAGACTTTGAGCTGAAGGCTAACTTAAACCTATAACTGTGTGCTCTCAACTATAAAGAAAAATAATTAAAGAACAATTGCAAAATGTTGGAAATATATTGTTATCGCTATGGCCTTTGTCCAAAAACAGATATCCACTTCACATTTAACTTTTTTTTTTTTTTTTTTTTTTTAGAGGCATGTTTTATTTATTTATTTATTTGTTTGTTTGTTTTGTTTATACATGCACTGGGTACAGTCAGAAGCGCGGGAGGGTGGGAGAATTCACCAGAGGCAGAGCAGGGAGCAGAGCAGGCAGAAGGACAGAAGTACACTGCTGAGGGGAGCAGCGGGCGACAGGAGAGGTCTGCGCGCCTTGTGGGACCCTCCTCTGGTGGCCGGGGAGCAGCCGGGGATCGAACCGGCGCTGCAGAGGCTGCGGGCAGCTTCGCAACCCAGCGCTCAACCGCTGCGCCACCGGGGAGGCCCCACATTTAACTTTTAACTCATTTTCTAGGAAGGCATTGTTGTTTTTTTTTGTTTTTGTTTTTAAATAATAAATTTTATTTTTATATTCCCCATACAATTGCAAACCCCCATTCTGACCCCAATCCCTCCCCTCCCGCCCCCACCTCCCAAAAAGTGTCTCTGGTTCATAGTTTTTTGTTGATTTTGATTTTCACTTTCTTATAGTTATTCATTTTCCTGGTCTCTTATTTAAGTTTTCTAGATTCCTGCTATGAGTGAGACCATCCGGTATTTTTCTTTTTCTTTCTGGCTTATTTCGCTGAGCATGATCCCTTAGGAAGGCATTGTTTTAAAGGGAAGCTTGTCGATAGATTTCTACTAGTAAAACCAGCTTGATTCAATACATTTACTGTGCTGGTATGATTAAGAACAGTCTTTGCTTTCAGGAAGTTTGTAGTTTTATTTGGGAAAGAAAATAAATGCAATATATATAATTCAGAAAACAAGGAATAAAAAATCAAACATGCAGGCTGAAAAATCATTTTGACAAAATAAGATATTCATCTTAATTTAAAGCCATCAAGATGATGGGAGTTTCAGGGAATTATGTGTGGTAAAGCAAGTCAGAATGACAAAGACAGGGCCAGGGAGAATCCTACATGGCGAGGCAGACCTCTCCTGTCTCACCCGCTGCTCCCCTCAGCAGTGCTTTCAGTCCATCTGCCTGTTCTGCTCCCCACTCTGTCTCTGGTGAATCTTCTCACCCTCCTGCGACTCTGGCCTGTACCCCAGCTCTTGTATAAATAAAATAAATCTTTAAAAGAAAAAAGAATGACAAAGACAAATATTAGTATTTACACAGCAGATCATTTGACAAAGTATTTACAAAAACTACCAAAAAAGTCTGAAAAATAAAACCATGAAGTTTTTTCCAAAACAATTGTATATTATTGTTTTCGAAATACTTTATGAATTACCTTTTTTTTTTTAAAGATTTATTTATACATACAAGAGCTGGGGTACAGGCCAGAGATGTGGGGGATGAGAGGATTCACCAGAGACAGTGGGGAACAGAACAGGCAGATTGACCGAAGTACACTGCTGAGGGGAGCAGCGGGCGAGGCAGGAGAGGCCTGCTGCGCCATATGGGTTGCTCCCTAGCCAGCCAGGGATCGAACTTGTGCTGCAGAGGCTGTGGATTGCTTCATAGTGGGGTGCCCCTTGTGCCACCGGGGAGACCCGATTACCTTTCTTAAATTTGATTTGCTAGTTGACTCAGCTTAACTTTTGAGATTATTTTGGCAACATTAACTTAGTTTTATTTAACACAAATAGAAATTTGCAATGCTGGTGATATTGTTTTTATGGTAGCTTTTAAAAAGGAGCAACAATTTAAGTTGCAAAAAAATGACCAGCTGAAATTTGACAGAACAGTGAATTCAAAGTTGTAACTACTCCTGTTTACCCCATCATATTATTTATTTTCAGTTGTATTTTAGGATTTTCTCCTCAATAGGTTTATGCTATGTTAATTATTGGTTGGAAAGGAGTTCCAAAATGGTAGAAAAGTTAGATTGTGAAACTTATTGTGGATATGAATTAGCAGTAGCCACAAATAGGAAGGAAGTCAAATAGTGATTGCAAAATCATGTTTTATTTTTAAGGGGAAAGTTTTGCAATAAAGTGTATTGCCGAAACAGAAGTTCCCAAGGGTGAAAGGAGTAAATGGCTTACTTTCATCTATTTTATTTTAAGTTATCTCTGGTAGAGTAAATATAGCTTAGTAGCATTACACAATTAAGATACCTCAAAAGAGCATATTATTCTTAAAAGGATCAGATGATTAAGTAGCGGCTGGTAAGCCTCTTTGTTTCACTTGGTGGCTTACAAGAGCAATTTTCATGGACTTCTATTGACCTTTACTAAAATAAAAATTCAGTAATGTAGTAATCATTTAGATATTGTTTTACTGAAGTATTTTTTTTAAATCAAGACTTATTTAAGGTATTTGCCTAAGATGGACACAAGAGATGGAAACTACTAATGGCTCCAAAGATCAGGGAAGTTCTTATTTATGTAAGGTACTAAGCTAGATCCTTTTTGGTAATAAAAAAATTGTCTGGGTCTATAAGCAGAGCCACAATGGTTCAAGGGAATGATCTCTGGTTTCAACTGGCTTTCAAAAACTTTGCTAAAGAATCTTTGAACAGTGCAAAGGACCTGGAAATATCTTATGGGTCTCTACAATTTTAATCCTCTTAAAGATAGAAGAAATCTTAAGAGATTATTTGGTGTAATTCCCTCCCTTTAAAAATTAAACAATTAAAATGTCCAAGAACATAGTTGGTGGCAAAGCCTAGATTAGAAAATTCCAGTGTAGGGCTTTCTCCAACTGTTTTCCCATTCTCCTTAAGCATTTACAGATTCCTTCTATGCCTGTGGCACAAACTGCTTTAGATCACAATTACAGCTTTTGAGTGATTTACAGTCTGGTTTAATGGTGACATGGAGGTGGATATATTTGATTGAATCTCAGCCTTTTGAATTCTCAGATAGTTCTGCTAACAGCAGATTTCTTTTTCCTCCCCTGGTTGAGTAGTAGTAGCAGGTTGCAGTTGTATAGTGGGAGGTAGTGGCCTCTGGTTGGACAGATCTAGCAGCCTGATGATAAGATTCCCAATCTTGTAGAACCTCAACCTCCTCATTTGTAAATTGGCAGAGCTGTAGTGAGAATCAGTGATAATGCAAGCCAAGTGACTAGCAATATGACTGAGACATAGTAGGTAAAAAATAGCTGGCACTATTAAGATGACCCTGCAGAATGTAAAGTGTTTCCCTTCCAACCGTCACAATACAATATAGTGGCCCATTTGTTTCCATACATTTTCTGTAACCACCATGACTGTGATATTTATAAGTTAATGAAGGATCAGAGGACAAGAAATCACATCTGCCCTGACAAGATGGACGTAGAGACAACAAAGTTCAAGTTAATTTAATAATATAGTTTATTAGTGTGAAAATGGAAGCAAACAGATAAAATATTGTCAGTGCACATGGAAATGACAGCTACAGCTGGTGAGAGCAGCACCCTCCAGTTCATTTTGACCCATGACTTTCTATAATTGGTCCTCGTAAGCCCAAAGTAGAGTTTATTTGGGGTTTCCCCCAAAATCTGCAAACTTACATAGTAAAACAACCTTGCCACAACTATCCTTTGTATCTTACTGCCTTAATGGCACTGAAATTGCATTATATAACTGGGACTACAATTGGCTTATCCATAAGAACAAACAAGTAAGAACTTCCATGTGCAGCTGACTCACTTTTCCACATCAATCTTAGGCGTACTTGATAACATCAGTTTACTAATAAAAGTCTTAAGTTATTTTCCAACTTTGCACATTTCTGATTGTCCTCATTGGAAAAATTTGGCTAGGTCTCTCCCCTAATCTCATCTTACTATATTCATATCTTCTCACTAGTAACTCTAACATTGAATCTAATTTTGAGTAAAATAAAATCAAAATGTCAAACAAATTTGGTTGGCAAGTTAATTTGTTAACTTTTTAAAAGGACATGTTTTTTTTTTTTTTTTTTTAAATAACACACCTTTTTTTTTTTTTTAGATTTTTTTTAATAGAGGCATGTTTTTCTTTATTTGTTTGCTTGTTTGTTTTGTTTATACATGCACTGGGTACAGTCAGAAGCGCGGGAGGGTGAGAGAATTCACCAGAGCCAGAGCGAGGGGCAGAGCAGGCAGAAGGACCGAAGTACACTGCTGGGGGGAGCAGCGGGCGGCAGGAGAGGTCTGCGCGCCATGTGGGACCCTCCTCCGGTGGCCGGGGAGCAGCCGGGCATCGAACCGGCACTGCAGAGGCCGCGGGCAGCTTCACAACCCAGCGCTCTACCGCTGCGCCACCGGGGAGGCCCAAAAGGACATGTTTTAAAACCATAATCACCATCATCATCAGTTGTCATTATGCTGCTTTTTCCTCTTTAAGATAGGCCACAGGGCTTACTGGAGTAATTTTATTCTAAGTAGAATAACTTATCTAGAGATTATGTATCTTACAAATTCAGGTCTGTACACCGTGAGAACCATTAAAAAAAAAGGCCCAGAGTATACAAAGATAGTCCAAAATTTCATACTTGAAAACATACACTTAGTTCATAGGAAAAAATCTTTCAATAAGAATTATTCACCCTTATTTAAACATTCTTACATGGAACACAGTTTAGAACCTTAACAAAAAATAAAAATATTTCCTAGGCACCATAGTTGTCAAAAAGTGTGTATTTATGGCAAAGCACCCCAGGATCTTCCTCAGGCATATTACTTTTCATTTTGGGCAATATTCTTATGAACTTGGTTGTGGATTCTAACCCTATGGTAAACTGAGGCAGGCACATTACCACCAACCTGGATGACAGCAAAGATACAAGAAGTGCACATAAGTTTGGGAAAATAGCAAACTGGGGTCATTTAGTGAAATGGTCAACACTCCTCAATAGCTCCTAGAGACACTAATATATTTGGGTACAATGTCAGAGGAGAAACTCATAATGATACCCATTAATATTAGAAAAATAGTTAAAAATATTAAGCACATTGCTTTTAAAAAGTAAAGACATGTATTTTAGAAACAGTTGTATCGAAAGTGGTTACGATGAAGTAATATCTAGTATTTAAAGATATAAATTTTGATTATCTGTATTATTTAGTTCCATTTGTGTGGACTTTGCAGTAATGCAGGACAAATTGAGGTTTATGAAAATACCTCGAATGTGTGTGTGATAATGTCATTCATCAAAATAAAAGTAGTAAATTCAAAAATCATCATGGATTTCTTTATTTTCTAGATTATATTCTTCTATAGCTTCCTTTTCTCTTGTATTGGAATATACTATAAAGTCATGAACTTTTCCTTTAAGAACATCCAGTTCATTTTGCATCTTTAATATACTATTATCATACTGAATTCCTTCAAGGGTTTTCTGCATCTCCATTATTTCAGACACTGCTTTCAGCATATCCTCTTCCATATTAAACATCTGAATGGTCAACTCTTCCATTTTCTTTTCTGTCCCAATCAGATCCTGAGAGACTCTGAGAACAGAGCGAACAGCACTTTCAATTGTTGGCAAATGTGTCTTGCATTCTTCAACTTTGGGCTCATAGCTGGAAAGTTTATTCGTCAGGTCTTCGTCTCTGGCGAGGAGGGCATGCTGCTCCTCTTCTAACTTTTCAACTGTTTTTGTGTCAGAGTCTAGCTGCTCCTCAACTCGCAGGAGATCCTCTTCCTCTTGTCTTTTTACTGTTCTAATATTTCTTAGTGTGCTGTCTTCCAAATCTTTCAGTCTTTCGGTGAGCAATTTTATTCGTTGCTCAGCTGAGTTAATTTGGACAGTAACTTGAGAATGTATATGTTTAGATTCTGATTTGAAAACGTCTGTATTAGCATTCATTTCTTCAAGGCTTCTCTTCCAGAAACCTGTAACATTCTGGAATTTCTCTTGAAGGCTCTGCATCTTTTGAGTGAGCATCTCTTCACTATCTTGAATGCCATGCATGATACTTTGGAGGCTGGATACTTCCTGCTCAAACTGGGTCACCAAGGACACGGATGATGTAACGTCCTGCAGGATACTTTCAGTGGACTCAAGCTGCATTTATAACAGAAAACAATTCCCAAGGCTACTTAATATCTTTCATGTAGGGAAAAACACACTTTAACAATCATGTGCCAACTCTGAAGATGTCTACAACATCCAAATATATCAGAATCAAACTGACGAAAATGTTCATTCCTTTTATAGTTGTTTTAGCATTTTAAACAAATTTAACAGATTAGATTATTGAAAAACATATACCTAAATGTATAATCACAAATATTTGCACATTTCATGGAGGCATATTCAAGAGGAAAATAATATTAGAGAAGCCTGAAGTGTATCATGTCTTCCTCCAATGGAAAGTTATCATTTTTATGGTTATTTGGCTTTACAAGAACCTGTAACTTAGTTATAAAATTTGTTACCTTTCCTAAATTGTATGACTCCCTTTGGGGATTCTGCCCCCAGCTCCCCAGATTTGTTGTGTGGCCTCTTCTGGAGAAGATACCAGAATCAGATCTTATAGGCAAGATGAATGAAACTTCAGTTGAGTGAGGCAATTCACATCGAATAGTAATATGTTCTAAGTGTCTGTGCATTATGATAAGCCCCCATGATCTCCCCATATGCATCTAGAACACACAAGAGTCCGTCTGTGGACCTTCTTTCACATATACTCACACCGAGATAACAACCTTAGAGACTATACAGCCAGGCTTGGAAATGATCACAACATTACCAACTGTTTGCATTATGTGGAAGACATAACACTACACAAAACACAGTTCTGACCTTAAGCAGGTTAGTTTAATTAGGGAGAAAGACAAGACTGTCTGCTCTGACCGGGGAAGAACCACGGAAGTACTTAAGGGGGCACTTGGACCAGACAGAAGAGCACAGAAAATATTCTAGAAGTATTATCTAGTCTCTCCTGTTACTTCCTTTCTAAACCATTCCCCACACTACACAGATTAAGCATTTAAACTGCTATGCACAGCACAGTACATCATAAGAAACCCAGGATGTTTACTAGTCCTTCTAGGATAAAGTTCCAAATTCCTTAACATCTCCTTATGCTATTCCTCCTTCCTCTTCGCTGAGCTAAGTTCTGTCCTGCCTTCAAGGTTCAGATCTCAGCTCCTCAGTGCCACATCCTCCCAAAGCCCTGCCCTGAGGAATCCTAGAGCTCCCCTACTGTGTTAGGTGTATCCCATGGATTTGGCACTTAGCTCATATAATTAGAGAATTTTGTACTAGACACGATATAAAAATATAGATTGCGTGTATCTCCTGACTTCACAACTTGGTAGGGGATAAAGGATTTACTGAAATACACTGGTAAGGGGAGCAGTAGACGAGACAAGAGGTCTGCTGTGCCATGTGGGTCAGCTCCCTGGCCGGGGATGGATCTCAGGCCATTGAGGTGGTAGTGCTACGCCTTAACCCCTAGGCCACTAGGGAGGACCTCAAAAGGCATTTTAATTGCAATCAAATTTTTCATTTAAAAAGCTAACAGAGGGCCTCCCTGATGGCACAAGGGGTTATGTCTTAGCACTATGAAGCTATCCGTAGCCACTGCAGCCTGAGTTCTATCCCTGGTGCAGCAGATCTCTCCTGACTCACCTGCTGCTCCCCTCAGCAGTGTATTTCAGTAGATCTGCCTGTTCTGTTCCCCACTCTGTCTCTGGTGAATCCTCTCACCTCCATACCACTGGTCTGTACCCCAGTTCTTCTATGTAAAAATAAATTTAAAAAAAAAATAAAAAGCTAACACAATTTTCTTCACAATTTGTTTTAATAGATTTTAGGTATATGAAGTTTGCATATCCTGCTATTTTTTCTATCATTGTGTTCCCTCTGAATACAAGCTCCAAAACAATTACAACCAGATTCTAACTAGGGCCCCAGGTCAGAATACCAACTGCTTTGTAGCTCCTTCCCAGAGGCCCCTGTGCTCACCTCCCCAGCCTGTTGGAGGGATGCATACTTTTCATCCATGGCTTCTCTCTTCTGGGGATTATATGTTCATGAGGCTACAGAAACTGGGGTCCTCTATTTCATTTCTATTTTTATAACATCCTTGCTGACCCTGGTGCCAAGCCCAAGTGCTTCTCTACCTTTAGGAACGGGGAGGATTTTAGTGAATGAATAAATGAAAAAACATGATGTCTTATTGATTACAGGTGACCCATCCTGAGAGGTGCGGTGGTCACAAAGTTGTTTTTACCATCACCCATTTCTAAGAATAAGGATGATAATGCATCCGGTGGAAATCAGCATGTGCAGCTTGAAGAACCACAGTATAGACACAGAGCTTAATTTTCATTTGGCTACAAAACCAATGTTTATTTTTAGATTAATTATTCTTGTGGGCATATGTATATATGCTTACCAAGGGGAAAGCAAAGAAAAAAAATCAGTGACTCTTTGTCCAACAAGTGCTATTCCTATTCTAATTTTACCCCCAAAGAGCAATCCTCTTTCAGTGCTATAGACATTTGATATTTAAATAGACAAAACTTGCAAGCTGACTGTAGATCTGAGGCATACAGCAGGGGAGGGGGCGAGAGTCAAAACTTGGAGAGGGAAGAGCACAAGGAACTGTGGTGATAGATCACGGGTGCTAAGGTGGTGGGAGAGCTACAGGGACTATACCTGAGGGGAGAAATCAAATACTGCCCCGAGTACTTAATCTAAAAATAAACAAAGGAAAAAACTGAAATCACATCAACATGAGCATATTTTTTGAAGTTACATTTGTTATACAAAAGGGTTCTTGTTTTTTCAAATGCAGCCTGAGTCTAAATTGCATGGAAAGTAGACTATGAAGAGGTTAAGACCAGTGAAAGTTAAATAAACGTAATGGTCTGAAAGTCAGGAAGAAAGAAATTATGGATTGGGATAGAAAGGTGGTAGTGGGGAAGAGAAAATGGGAAAACCTTCCTAAACAAGTCAACTAATGCTTACCTTTTCTGAAATCAAACTGATTTTACTTTGAAGTCCTTGGAACTCATTGGTTTCTATTTTCAGCAACTGGTACTGCCTTTCCACCTTTGCAAACTTTTCCGACTGCTGAAATACAAACCTGGAAGAGGGAAAAAAAAATCAGTACCTCTTAATTCACACACAGGTAAGACTGAACTTGAAAGAATTTTATATCCACTTCTGGTAAGGACCACAAAAATACTGGTTATGGGTAGAGGCAGCTTATCTATTTCAACATTAAAGAGCTGGCTGTATGGTCAATCCACGCAGCAGTTTTAACTGTTCTGTTCAAGCAAAGAGGAACATACCCGCTGCTCAAGTTCACAGCCTAGTGAGTGAGATGGTGTGGTGTCTACTATACTGGTATGTAAAAGAAATATTTTTGAGGAAGAAATGATGAATTACTTAGAACGGATATGTGACCTCCACTGTTGTTCTCAAGGCCACATCTGAACAATAGCTAGAAAATTAGCAGTCTTTTTTTTTTTTTAATCTATATATATTTTTAAGATTTATTTATTTATTTATTTATACAAGCACTGGGTACAGTCAGAAGCGCGGGAGGGTGAGAGAATTCACCAGAGCCAGAGCGGGGAGCAGAGCAGGCAGAAGGACCAAAGTACACTGCTGAGGGGAGCAGCGGGAGGCAGGAGAGGTCTGCGCCTGCCATGTGGGACCCTCCTCCGGTGGCCGGGGAGCAGCCAAGGATGGATCCAGCGCTGCAGGGGCTGTGGGAAGCTTCGCAACCCAGCGCTCAACCGCTGGGCCACCAAGGAGGCCCGGAGATTAGCAGTCTTAACAATGAAATGTTGGAGAAGTTACCTAAGTAAAAAAGTATTTTTAAATTCAAATGTAGAAGAGGGGGGAAAAATGTCCCTGGCATGGAAAGAAGAGAAGGGGGATGATGATTATAAGCTGCAAAATCATGGAAGTCCAAACCGGAAAATAGTAGCCACTGTCCATGACAACTGACTATGCAAAGCAAGGTGTATCGTCTGTACAGCTGGTGATATTTGACAATGTGAGTCACGTAGGTGTTCTTTCGGTGCCAGTCTAAAATTGCACTGCATCTTTCATACAGTAAATAGTAGAGGGCAGAAGCTTAAAAAAGCCACCCTATCTTACAAACAATAAGTGATCTTTCATTTGTATAGGGTGTGAAGTGAGTAAGCACAAAAGAAATGCTTTGGATCTAGTGTCAGCTTGGTTAATCTACTTGGACTCAATTCTTCTGGCTCAGAGAAAGAAGCCATTGAAATTCTTTGTATATTTATTAAGTCATCAAAAAGCAGACCCTACCAGTGGTGCAAATGCTTCACTGCACATTGGAGTTGCCGGGCCACTTTAAAAATCTGACATCTGGATCCCACCTACAAAAATTCTAAGTGAATTTGTTTTGGGATATGACTTGACTATTGGAAAATTTTAAAGCTCTCCAGATTCTCTGTGTGCTCAGCCAGGTTGAGAGCTATGAATTGGCACTGTTTTGTGAAACTGACTTCCACTGAAAAGACAAATTAAGCTCCCCAGACTTAATGGAGAGGTGAAAGGCTTCTAAGCTTTGTGCTTCATTGCAGGGGGTTGGTTGAGTTTTATTTTCTTTTATTTAAAGATTTTATTTATTTATGCATAAAAGAGCTGGGGTACAGGCCAGAGATGGGGGGAGGGTGAGAGGATTCACCAGAGACAGAGTGGGGAACAGAATAGGCGTATTGACTGAAATACACTGCTGAGGGGAGCAGGGGGCAAGTCAGGAGAGGTCTGCTGAGCCATGAGGGCTCATGCTGCAGAGGCTGCGGATTGCTTCACAGTGCAGTGCTTAACCCCTTGCGCCACCACGGAGGCCCGGTTGGTTGTGTTTTAAACTCAGAAATGTCATCATTAGGCTAACTGTTGTGGTTCAAAGCTAAGACAGTCTCTTTGCTTTTTAAACAAATGCTTATAATATTAGATGAAACAAATTTCTTTTGATGATGGCTAAGGTCTATCCTAAGAGGTAACGGTGAATAAAGTAAGCCCAGGCTATAAAATTAGCAGAATGACATTTCTTCTGTATGCTAATATGAACTTTAAAACTTCTAGTTATGAGAAAACACCATTATCCAAATTTTCAAAGATGAATGACTTAATTATTTTTTTTTTTTAAAGATTTATTTATTTATTTATTGATTGATTGATTTATACATACAAGCACTGGGTACAGTCAGAAGCTTGGGAGGGTGAGAGAATTCACCAGAGCCAGAGCGGGGAGCAGAGCAGGCAGAAGGACCGAAGTACACTGCTGAGGGGAGCAGCGGGCGGCAGGAGAGGTCTGCGCGCCATGCGGGACCCTCCTCCGATGGCCGAGGAGCGGCCGGGGATCGAACCGGCGCTGCAGAGGCTGCGGGCAGCCTCGCAACCCAGCGCCCAACCGCTGTGCCACCGGGGAGGCCCTGACTTAATTATTTTTTGATTGGTTGTTTTACTTTTGACTTTTAAGAAGTTCTTTTCAGAGTATAGGCTTCAGACTTGTAGGCAGAGACCACACCATATAAATTTAATTTCAGGGACTACTCCATGATGTTATCTCATAAATTTTTTCTATAAACCTGAATGTTTATTCAGAATAGAATCATTATGAGACTTTGTGTGAAGGTCAACACACTACAACATTACATTATAGGCTTTTTATTTTAGTAAATATTTTTAATGTCAATCTCTGAACCTCTATCAAATTCAAATATTAAGCAAAAGCTTTAAGAAAACTCTGTCATGTTAGTGCAAATATCACCTCTGATGATAACCTGTATGTTTTATGGTTAGATTTGCACCAAAATAAGATTGCTACACAGGAAAGGAATGTCGTACTTAAGAATAAACAAGCATAAAGTTGACTTGGTAATGAGAAGTGGTTTTTATTATTTTTTATTATTATTGTTTTTTTTGTGGGACCCTCGCCGGTGTCCAGGGATCGAACTGGCACTGCAGAGGCTGCGGGCAGCCTCGCAACCCAGCGCTCAACCACTGCGACACCAAGGGAGGCCCGAGAAGTGGTTTTTATGGTGCTGAGTTTAAAATGTTTTCCACTTACATGTGCCAGGCACTATTCTAAAGACTTTATAACTATTAACTCATTTAATATTAAGGAAGAGGAGGATTTTCCAGAAGTCAGAAATGTATAATGAGAGAAGGCAGTTTTGATTCTGAAAAGTGTTTGAAATTGGCATGCTGGCTTTGAAGGTGCTTTGTTTTAGTCAAGGCTTTTCCTTTTTTTTTTTCATTAAACTGTTTACATGGGTCTCAAAATTCTGTGGCAGGTTTTTGGTCAAGCTGTTTCCAGAAAGATTGTCTTCATGGGGTTTACATTCAAATGGGGAGGCAGACAGACATACCAAAAAAGTAAAATATTTAGCAAACCAGATGGTTAAAGTGATATGGAAAAAGAAAAATGGGGAGGGTTGTATTAGCAGCAGGAGTGTAAGTTGTCCCTGGACTGCCCATATCATGGTGAATATCCTCTAGGAGGAATGACTTAAAAGTAAATTAGAGCAAACAGAGAATTAGGTCTGCCCATCTTGATGCAGACAGTTGGACTGGGAGTGTTCTAGCAGAATTAATGAACATTCTGCTAGAAGAAAGCAGTATTCTGGGCTCCATCTTCACTGCCAGAGCACACACTGCTTTTAAAAACTAATAACTACCGCAAAAAAATAAGGAACACTTCACAAATTTGCATCTCATCCTTGAGCAGGGGCCACACTAATCTCTGCATTGTTGTAATTTTAGTAAACGTGCTGAAGGGAGAACTGAGTCAAGGCTTTCCAAAAGGAGTTCATGGCCTCCTTCCTCCTGTCCTTGCTCAGGTTAGAGACAAATTAGGGTCTGTTAAGGGTTACAGTTTCTAGTAGGAGAAAGAAAAGAACTATAAATAATTCTGAGCTAGGAATTTCTATTTCTAAGGTCTTGACCTCTTTTTCTATTAAAAAGGGCACAGCATAACATACGGTTTGGAGTGCGAAGCTGGGCAATTTTGCTTCTGCCATTTACTAGCTGTATAATCAACCACTTTGGGAAAGTTACTTATCTTTGGTGTGGTTTTCTCATGTTACATACAACAGAGTCATTCAGTGCAATACTGAATGTTCAGGAAAATACTGACCATATTCCATTTTTTAAGAAGCTGACCATTTAAAGATAACTGTCTTTTAGATAAAGCTCCTCCAATAAAAAACAAAACATGAAAATGGACTTAGCCAAGATTTTGCAGTATAAATGACTTCTAGAGAAAGTTATATAAGCAAAACCCTGAGTTACCTAATTGTTCAAAGAGCTCTTAATTTTCTGCACATAATTATCACAAATGCTATGAAAATTTTTATGAAGGCAATTTAAAAATCTGTTGAAATTCCCAGAAGAAATTAATTTCTATGTAATTAAGCAAACCAGTAAGGTTTTGTGTGTTTGGCTAACTTCATAACTTCCGAATTTTTGAAAAGCAGATTTAAGAATTTTCATAAATCCTCTTACCTGAGATTTTTCCTTAAGAATTTAGAAAGGAGGTATGCAAACTAACACTGAATAAGTTTAGATTTAGGTAACTGTTATGGCCAACAAAATATCACTCATCAGTTTAGGACATATTTAACAGAGATGTTCAAGTATCACACTTTTATTATGCATTATTTATGTTTACTTTCCAAACAAGGATCCAAAGACTAAAGTCTGAAGACACTCATATAATGGATGCCTTGAAATCCTCTGGACAGTGGAAGGGTTCAAATCCCACTACTGTCCCCAATTTAAGTGTGAAAAAAATGGATGTTTTCTTTAGGAGTACAGATAGGCACATATGCTGTTGTATTTTAACAAACCAGACAGTGTCAGTACAGTAAGCAATAAAGATGTGACAGGCCAACTTTTAATGCTGAAGTATGTTGTACTAGGGGGGAGATCTCAGTGGTCTTGTAATTCTAGTGTGCTTTAAGTACTCTGAGATGTCAAGTTTCTTTGAGAAATTCTTAAAAATGTCTTACCAGAATAAATTTTTATTTCCAAATGTACCATGAATAAATATTTGCCATAAACAGTGACCAAAGTATTTATACTATAAATCTTTTGGCAAAAGATAACCACAAAAGCCATTTTAAAGTTAACTATTTTAATAACAGTCATAGTATCTATTTTAGAAATAATTTTTGAGTACTGTTTTTATTATTTTGTGAAGACACAGTTCAAATAAACTTTTCCTATCAAATGTAACTTGTCTTTATAGTAAGCACTAATAGTAACTCCTAAGCCAAAGTGTCTGTTTTCCTTTGTAGATCCCTTTTATTATTTTCCTAGGACAGTAATTCAATTATTGAAAAGGTGAACATACTGTGGTGCAATTTATCTCAAGTGAATATAAGTCTTTGGGTAATTAATAAATTTCATAATTAAAATCAATTGTGTTAGTCCCAAGAGAATATCTTTTTGCCTACTAATTTCTATTAGTGAATAACTTTCCCATTACAATTTTTGAAGCTCACTCCAGTAGCTGCCCAAGAAAGAAGGCCAAGGAGAAGAGGTGCCCCGGCCCCTGTCATTGTGGAGATACAGGAGGCCAAGTAGGTGGTAAATGTCCCTTTTGAGAAGGGGCCCAAGAATTTTGGTGTGGGAAAGCACACTCCACCCAAAAGGCACCTCACTCACTTTATCAAATGGCCCCACTACATCTGGTTGCAGGGGCAAAGGGCTATCCTCAAAAATCAGCTGGAAGTGCCTCCTGCCATTAACAGCTCACCAGGCCTAGGACTGCCAGGCAGCTACTGCGCTGCTTAAGCTGGCCGATATGGACAGACCAGAGACCTCGCAAGACCAGGCAGATGGTTGGCCTGGGTTGAGAAGGAAGTTGCTGGCAAAGGGAATGTCCCCACTAAGAAGTCACCTGTCCTTCCAGCAAGGGTTAACAGTCACCATGATGGTGGAAAACGAGAGGTTGAACTGATGGAGATTGCACATGATGCAGTTCCGGTCAAGGGGGCTGCCTTCCTGCTGGCCCTGTGTCGGAAGGGGGTTCCCTACTGCATTACCAAGAGAAAGGTTAGGTTGGAGCTGACAGTTCACAGGGACACTCGTAATGTCACCTTCACAAGGGTTAAATCAGAAGGCAAAGGAGCCAAACTGATGGAAGGTATCACGACCAATTACAATGACGGATGAGATGGCATCGGCTGTCACTGGGGAGAAAAAAGTTCTGCGTCCAAAAACTGTGGCTCAGTTAGCCACGCTGGAAAAGGCAAGGCTAAAGTTTGCCACCAAACCAGGATGGGTGTACGCTGCTGCATCTTCTGTACATAAAAGTTCTCCTTCAGCAAAAAAAAAAAAAAAAAGTTTTTAAAATTTACCTAAAGCACATAGATTTTAAAACATGTTTATTTTTAATAGCAAATTACCTTTATCCCTTTACGATCAAAATCAGATTTGTCCATAAACACAAATGTCATGTTACTTTTTTAAAAGAGAAAATTTAAGAATCAACACTCACTATTGCAACAAATCTTTTATTAACTGATTCAGGATGGGTCACTAGTAAAGAGTAATTCAAAATTTAATAGCATCAAAATGTTCTTGCCTAGAGGGCATCCACAGTGGCTACTAGAAGTCTATTACTGTTGCAGATGAGTTTCTTCTAAATGCCTTAAAAATCAATGACAAATGGAGGGAAATTCTAATTTAAAGGTGAGTCTTGTTATGAAAATGAAAAAAATTATTCTATGGAAAATAATTCGTGAAAATAAGATCAACAAGTTGGTTTTTAGGTTCTTCTAGTCTGTTACCTATGATGCTAATATATCACTGTTTGCTTGGTTTAAATCTAAAAATGTTTAGTTTTAAGTGAACATCTGTAACTTTATACCTTTACAGTGCAAAATTTTAATCTGTAACAGAAAAAAAAGGTTTTAAATTCATAAGGCAGCACCTTAATCAAACTATGAGGAATCCTCCCAATGATGTTATTAACAATAATGTTTGTTGCTTTGAGATCCACGTTATGAATCCTTTTAAGGTTGCAAAAGTCACCATTAGGACTTTATGGGGTAAATGTGGGGAGAAATATGTCCTCAACAAACGCTCAGCGGACAGGATGCAACTGGGCTACAGCAACGTGCAAACCTCAGATGTGCAGTAGGCGCTTAATAAAGTGTGGGGACATCAGTATACTAGAATTTCTAGTGTTCCAAATCTTGCCAGCATTTGGGATCATCAGACTCCAATTTTTACCAAGCTAAGGAGTGTAAAAGGATATTTCATTGTTAATTTTATTTTACATGTTTTTGATTGCTAATAAGTTGAACATTTTTTACCATGGGAATTTGTATTTCTTCTTAGAAATAATTCATGTCTTTTACTTTTGTATTTAAAACTAATTTTTAAAAGTTCTTTATCCTTACCTTTTATCAGTTCATGCTTATTTAACTATTAAGGTCAAAAGAAACCATCTTTAGTGCAGAAAAATCTGAACTAATTGTAGAAATATGAAAAGCCTGTGAAACTTTATCCTATTTGGAGAAAATAAAGTTAAATGCATATGTTTTTAAAATAAAATAAAATAGTGTTGCCGACTCTGCATCTTAAGAAATGGCTGCTGCCCCGTTCCCAAACTTTAGCTTCAATTCCAACTTGGGGATAGGGGCCTGCTACCAGCAAAAGGAAGAAAGAAGAAAATCCCCCCCAGTGGGGGTGCCCCTTCCTCGGGGTTGCAGAGGAACAGCAGGGGCAAGTCTGCGGGCTGCAGCGTCAGCGCGAGGTCAGGGCGGGAGGGGCAGGGGCAGGGGCAGGGCTCTGAAGAGAGGGGCGATCTGGGGAGCCCCCTCACGTCCACTTACCAGGCCAGGCCCAGGCACGTCCCCAGCGACAGCAGGCTCAGGCCCGAGCGGGGGTCGGCCCAGCGCCCGACTCCAGCGCCCCGGGCCTCTGGGCTCTTCCCGCCCTCGCTCCGCTTCCCGGGCTCCGCGGGGCCGCCCTTGGGCCCCGATTTCTTCCGGTTCTTCACCTCTGACATATCTGGGGCCCCTGAGGACACAGCCGGGGCGCTGTCTTCACCCTGGGGTGGCGGGACGTGGCCGTCTGAGCCCCGGGGGGGAGCAGCGCAGAGACCGCGCCCCCGCCCGGCTCTGGCACCGCCCAGAAACCAGCTCCTCCGCCCTCTGTGCCCGCCCGCCGGCCGCACCGCGCTCCCTCGGCTCGGGCCTGCCAGTTCCTCAAGCTGCGTCCGGCAGCATGCTCGCCCCCATCCTCGCAAGGCGGCCTGGGCGTGAGCGGCCCACCTGGCACAGGTAGCTCGCGCGCGCTGGCAGGGCGCTGGGCTGCGAGAAAGGGGCGGGGCCTGGAGAAGGCGGGGCGGGGCCTGGAGGAGGTGGGCGCGGGGAGCCACGTCGTGCGGGCCCCCGCCTCGAGCCGCCCTCCTTGAATGCGGCGCTCTGCTATGACGAGGCCCCGCTGCGGCGTCGGGAGCAGGCCACGCCCACGTACGCGCGTACGCGCGCTGGCCCACGTCGATGGGAGCGCGCCGGCGCCGCTGGGAGAGGCTCGCTGGGCGTGTTTACAGCCCGTGCGGGCGCGCGCAGGCCCGGCTGGGCGGGCCCTGCGGGTTTGACTGCTCGGCGGCCCCGCGGCGCAGGGGAGGAAGCAGCCGCTGGACGCGGATGCTGTGTGCCTGGGCACAGGGGCTGAGGGGTCCAGGGTGAGGGGCCGGGCCGTCGGCCGCTCGCGAGGATCTGAGGGAGCCGCGGCGGCGTCGGGGCGTCACCAGGCTCCAGTCGGGGTGCAGCAGCTGCGGAGGAACCCGAGGCGCCTTCTCCCTTTGTGTCCCGGGCGGGGTCCACCCAGAGGACGGCCCGCGGGCCGGGGTTCACCCCGGCACCCCAGGACTCTCCCTGACGCCCCGGGGCCGCGGGGGTAGCGCCTGCCTCTCCGCGGGTCGGAGATCCCCCGGGCTGCAGAGGCCCCAACCTGCCTGAGCCTTTCGGATACCCCTTTGTCTCTGCCCACCCCCCACCCCGATTTCCCAGCCTCGCCCCCCAGGACTGCTCGTCCCAGTAAGACCTCGGCGCAGAGGTTTGGTAAGTTTGGGTCTTGCTTTTCTCCTGAGCCTGGTTTTTGGAAGTTCTCGAGCCAGCTGCAGAGAGAGACTCAGGATTCAGGAACAAGGAATAACTGATAAACCATCCTGCCCCAGGGCCAGGAAGAGGAATTATCTGAAGAGGAAGTAGTCAAGTATTGGGGCTCTCGGGGATGAAATTGCCTCTTTCTTTCTGTTGCACATCTATGAAGAAATTGCATTTTGATGTGGTTACAAAAGGTGGGACACTGAAAATTTGCTCAGGAGATTTCAGTCTGTGCAGTTTGAAACGTGTTTAAAATTACATGTTTAAGTTTTACAGGGCAGGTAAAGTTGGAAAGAGTATGGGTTTGCTTAGCTATTGGGTATTACCTAAAGAGTTATACTTCTGCCAAATCGAGTTTTATTATTATAAACTAAGGGATGTTTGTGTTTAAATTGAGATGGTAAAAGTATTAACATTAAAAAAAGTCTTGATCCTAAAAACAACCTTTTCTTTTACCAATTTCATGCATATGTTTTTAAAATAAAGTGTGGCCGAATCTGCATCTTAAGAAATGGCTGCTGCCCCGTTTCCAAACTTTAGCTTCAATTCCAACTTGTGAACCTTTAGATGCATGGGCAAATGTTCTATTCTCTTTGTTTACAAGTGGCACTTTAAGAATATAAATTATTGAAGGTCAATAGATTATTGCTCTTCTATGCAGCTAAATTACTTGTGCTTATCTCTCCACCTTTGCACTTGACATCACATTCTAATTACTTTTTTATTTTGCTCTTCCACTAGATGGGGAATTCCTTCAGGTATACGATTTAATCTTATCTGTAGGCTCAGGGCTTGGCACAGAGGAGGGCCTCAAAAACCGTTGAGACACAACTGTAACATGCTGGGCTCTGTAAATGGTTTAAAAACTTTCAAACATTATGATGTGGGTTTAAACCCTTGGGAGAAAATATATTTTTATTTGAAAGTAGACTGCTAAGAATATTATTCTTTCTTTGTTTTCCTTTAATCCAAGAAATGACATCATAGTGTATTTTCTGTTGCTTTGTCACACTTAGCAACTCAGCTGAAATATCACTGGGGTGAGCATGTGTGAAATGTGTTTACCAATGAAAACTTAGAGCTGCCACCCATCTCCAGAGAAAACTAATTCTTAGTACCAACAATGCTCTGTTTAGTCTTGTGTTGGATAAAACAAGAAGTTCTTAAACTTTAGAATTTCAGTATGATCAGCATTTATAAAACCTTAAGACTTTTTTTGTAAAAATGATATGTCTTAAAAAAATTCAGACAATATAGAAAAAAAGATGAAGGGTGGGGTAACTTCCAAATCTTTCTACTTGGAAGTAACCAAACATTTTTTGAACAAACTTGCTAACATCTCCCTTCATGTTTACAACACATATTTTATGTTGTATATGAGAGCATACTTATAAATAAATTTGCAGTCAGTAATGTGTGTTGAGCATCTTTACATGTCAGTTCATAGGTATGTGGCTTGTCCTTTAAAATGACTGTTTATTATTCCATTTTAGATACCTACTCTAATTTTTAAAAAACATACCCAGAATGATGGACATTTAGGTCGTTTTCATCTTTATTCTTTTTTCGGTGTTAACTCTGGATATTTTTGCATACATGTGTGAATGTTTCCTTGAGGTAAATTCCTAGACGTAGAATTATGGGTTAAAGATAATGCTTTAACACTTCTGGTATTATCATATTACCTTCTGCCATATTGCATCCATTGTACTCTCAGAACTTTGAAAGCATCGAGTTTTGTCCATTAAAAAAAAGCAACCAAACTTTGCCAAAAAACTCTTCTTATTTTACATTTCTTATTACCAGTGAGATTACACATCTTTCCTCATCTTTATTTACCCGACAGATATTTTGATGATTTGCATCTAGCTCATGGTTGACAGTTCAAGAAAGAAAATTAAGGAAGGATGGATGCAAAAGCTCGCAATTGTTTGCTTCAGCATCGAGAAGCTCTGGAACAGGACATCAAAACATCCTACATCATGGATCACATGATTACTGATGGGGTTTTAACAGTATCAGAGGAAGAAAAAGTTAAAAATGAGGTAAAGCCCTCTGAGGCAGTCTGTGTTTTCCTGAAAATTCTAGAATTTATTTCAGAACCTGCATTGTTTTCTACTAATTTACATTATAGTACACTAAAATACTTATTTTTTTTTAGCCCACTCAACAGCAACGAGCAGCTATGCTCATTAAAATGATACTTAAAAAAGATAATCATTCCTACATATCCTTCTACAATGCTCTACTACACGAAGGGTATAAAGATCTCGCTGCTCTCCTGTGTGGTGGTGTTCCTATTGTCTCTTCTTCGAATGGCAAAGACTCGGATTGTGGAATAACTTCATATGGTTTGTATCCATGATCCCTTCTATTGCTTAGCTATTATAATGGTTACTTTGCTGCACTTTTATCTTATGGTAGATGGAGTCTGCTGAAGAGACTGATTAGCTTACTGAAAATTGTATGTTAAAAGATTATGTTAACCGAGGGGTGGGGGGCGGGAGAGGAGGGATTGGGATCAGAATGGGGGGGTTGCAATTGTATGGGGAATATAAAAATAAAATTTATTATTTAAAAAAAAATTATGTTAACCAATTAAAATTTTTTAAAAAGATTTATTTATTTATTTATATAAGCACTGGGTACAGTCAGAAGCTTGGGAGGGTGAGAGAATTCACCAGAGCCAGAGGGGAGAGCAGAGCAGGCAGACCGATGAAGCATACTGCTGAGGGGAGCAGTGGGTGGCAGGAGAGGTCTGCGCGCCATGTGGGACCCTCGCCCGGAGGCCAGGGATCTAGCCGGCACTGCTGAGGCTTCGGACAGCTTCACAACCCAGTGCTCAACCACTGTGCCACCGGGGAGGCCCACCAATTTACATATTTTTATTTGCATCTGTATTACCTTATATTTTCTTATTGCTCAGTGTGCTGAGGTGGTAATATACATATCCTAACTTTTAGAGTTAAGGCAATTTATATAAATAGAAATGTATAGAAAACCTTAAGTTTTCTAGTTCTGTGTTTTCATCAGGTTCATGCACAAGAAAGAATAAGAATCTTTAGAGATATGCTTTTAAAAGGAATTGCATTTTCTTTTCTTTGCACTCCCCTTCCAGTCTTCAATAGGAGAGAGAGAAATTGGAGAGTCAGGGAAGAAAAGGATGAGTAACGGGAGGTACAGATGGAGATTTCTGTTGTCTGTAGCTATCTTGAAAGATACATGTTTGCTATTTTTCTAGGTGTTTTGAGAAACCAGAAAGTTGAAATTAATATGCTATTCACATTTTCTTCTCCTTGGAAATTCTAGTATTTTGTTTTGATGTTATTACGCTGAGTAACCATTTCAAAGTTCTGTTCATTTTTCTTGTTTTGTTTGGAATTTCAGTGAGGACAATCCTGTGTGAAGGTGGAGTACCGCAGAGGCCAGTTGTTTTTGTTACTAGGAAGAAGCTGGTGAATGCAATTCAGCAGAAACTCTGCAAACTGAACGGTGAACCAGGATGGGTCACCATCTATGGGATGGCAGGTTGTGGGAAGTCTGTATTAGCTGCAGAAGCTGTTCGAGATCATTCTTTCCTACAAAGTAAGTTTTCATCATCCTGTGTTGCTGACTAAGGAGATATTCTTTAGGCATTGTATTAATTTCCTGTTAATACTATAACAAACGATCATATATTTGGTAGCTTACAACAATACGAATTGATTATCTTATAGAGCTGCAAGTTAGAGGTATTAAGTTCAAGGTTTCAGTACAACTGAGTTTCCTTCTGGAGGCTCTAGAGAGAATTCTTTCCTTGCCTTTTCTAGCTTGTAGATGTGGCTTGCATTCCTTCATGTGTGGTTCCTTTCATTTTCAAAGCTGGCAGGTCGTAGCATTTCAGTCTGTCTCCCGGATTATTTCCTTGTGTTGTCACGTGTTCTTCTCTCTGACTCTGACCTTCTTGTTTCCTCATAAGGGCCCTTATAATTATATTGAATTGCAGATAATCCAGGGTAATCGCCTGTTTCAAAATCTTCAATTACATCTACAAAGTCCCTTTTGCCATATAAAGTAACATGTACAAATTCTGTTGATTAGAATGTGGACTTCTTTGAGAAAGCCATTATTCTGCCTACTACAGACATGATTAATTTAGGAATATTTTGTCTATGTCTGTTGCAGCGAGACTTGGTAGTCAGGCCGGTCGATTCATGTATATATGTCAAATGGCACTTTTTATTGCCAAAATGAAACTACTTCCCTTGTGTCTTAACAATTGAGAGGATTTTAGGGTTGAAAAGGGATCTTTAATGGTTGTCTATCTTACATCCCTGACTTTCAGGCAGTATTAGACTTATATCTTCCTGTCATTTGACTGTCTGCTCTGGCACAGAGTCCTGTAGGGAAGGAGATTTTATTTTATTTTTTTTTTCGGGGAGGTTGGAGAGAAGATTTTAGAGAACTCTTCAGTGGGTCATTCTCCCGTGTATGTGGCTCTCTGTATTACACTGTTAATTATATTTCTTTAGTTAATTCTATCAGTTACTTATCTTTAAAAATAAACCTCTTTTAGGGCCTCCCTGGTGATGCAAGGGTTAAGTCTCAGCACCATCAAGCTATTGGCAGCCATTGTGGCACAAGTTCGATCCCCGGCCAGGGAGCTAACCCACATGGTGCAGCAGACCTCGCCTGTCTTTCCTGCTGCTCCCCCAGCAGTGTATTTCAGTCAGTCTGATTCTTCTGCTCCCTGCCCTGTCTCTGGTGAATCCTCTCACCCTGCACACCTCTGGCCTATACCCCAGCTCTTACGTATATTAATAAATAAAATCTTTAAAAAAAATCTTTTAGTAACATGTCTATTATATTAGATGTGCATACCAATTTTGCAGGTCAGCCTTCTAGATTGATTTGTTTTTTGCTTCAGGTGTCATGTATTTGTGAAATGTTTGAGAGCCCGCGGTGGAGTTTGGCTCTCTTTTGGGCACTGGGCTTCCAAAACGTCATGGCCTATGCATAGGAATTCACTCATAGTGAATGTCTAGTGGGGGAGACAGACATGTAGAAAAAGTATAATGTGTGTGATAAATTGAACAGTAGAAACAAGTAGAAGGTACAAAGTTAGAAGAAAGGAAGGAAGTGTGAACTCTCTGGGGGAAGAGGATGGACCAGACGGGCTTCCTGAATGAGATGACAGTTCAGTTGGAGTTTAGAGGGAGACCAGAAGTTTGCTAGACAGACTAGGTGTGGGGCTGAAGAGTAAGTCAGGGTAGTGGGTAGTTACTGGAGCGGGGAAGGGCAGACCGTGAGTAAAGTGTTGAGGACGTGTGGCAGGTGCACTGCTGACCTACGCGCTTGGCAGGTCAGGTATTCCTTGGTCGCAGAGCTCTCAGTCCCTGGCGTGGTGGCCTTCCTTCCTTCATGAGTTCTAGAGGAATTTAAATGCAGTTCTTGACTTCTAGTTGTTATTTTTTTCCTCAAATTTTATTGATTCGCCAGTCATTCACACAACTGTGCTTTGGGGTGTACAGCTTCACAGTCCACAGGTGCACATGGCTCACCCTCCATCAAAACTCCAATGCCAGTACCTGTCACCATCCCTCCCCATCCTTTGTGCCTATTAATAATTGTTTATAATACATTTGTTAAAAGGGCTTATGATGAGATGGCAAAATTAATGGACTAAACCTCTAAGGGATTTAGAAAGATGGAAACTAGGGCTCATCCACTGTACTGCCTGGCTCTGGTCTGTAGTCATAACCTGGGTCAACAGTCTTGGTCATACTTTTTTTTTGTTAAGATTTATTTATTTATGCATACAAGAGCTGGCGTACAGGCCAGAGGTGGGGGGTATGTGTGTGTGTGAGAGGATTCACCAGAAACAGAGTGGGGAACAGAACAGTCAGATTGACTGAAATACACTGCTGAGGGGAGCAGTGGGCAAGATAGTAGAGGTCTGCAGCGCCGTGTGGGTAGCTCCCTGGCTGGGCCGGGAATCGAACTCCTGCTGGGTAGCTCCCTAGCTGGGCTGGGAATCGAACTCCTGCTGCAGTGGCTGCAGATTGCTTCATAGGTTGCGTCTTGACCCTTGCGCCGCTAGGGAGGCCCTTGGTCATGCTTTTTGTCAGGAGTATGTCCTCACCCTTGTTTCCCCTTCCCCCCACCTTGTCATTATAAAGAAGTTTCCTGAGACTCAGCTCCATGCAAGTCTCAGGGCCAAGTATTTATTTTTATATATTTACTCATATTTTTTTAACCTCTACTGCAAAGTTTATCACCAATGATATTTCAGGATAAAATTAGCTTAAATTCCTCTATTGTGAAGAAATGGTTTTTCCTTTCAATATTAAGGTGAAATTTAAAAAAAACATATAAGTATACCTTTGATGCTGTTATGTTATTGGTTGTTACCAGGATAGACCTCTAAGAAAGTAGGATGAGGTTAATTTTCTCTGAGTAAAGACAACTTGTAATTTTCTCTGAATGAATTATAGGTACACACCTTATTCAAAGCTGACTTGCTCCCTCTTGTGCCCATCCATAGTCAAGATGTTTAGTCTTTGTGAAATGTGGAGTTAGTGCTTAGTATTGAACTAGCTTGTCATATTGTGATAGACTTGCAAATCAGGTGGTCATTTGGTCTGCCTTTCTTTTTAAAGATAGTAATGTTTTATTTTTTTCTTGCATGTTTTTAATACCCGATTTTTTTTAGTTTTAAATTTAGGAAAAATCTTTTGATATAGGTAATACGTACGTAAATTTAAATCTGTAGAGTTATTTGCTAGTTATATCAGGATATTCCCTTTGTCTTGTCTTTAATTCTGGGGTGATCTTTAAAAATTCTCCCCCATCCCCCACTTTAAAATTTTTAAATTAAAAAAAAAAACCAAAAAACTCTTAGGAGACATAGGTAGTTTAAATTTTCTTGTTTTACATATTGCATAAGTAGTATTTTCATTTACATGAAGTAAAAATTATTTTCACTTGTCCTCCTAGAGATAATCACGGTTAACGGTTTAGAGTGTGCTTTTTTCAAACATTTACCTATGCATTTGCAAACATGTACACAGACAGAACACAGCTATGTCATTAGGGAAACATCAGGAATTTACCATTTCATGACTATTGACATACACTGAAGGAAACCTAAGAGAACTTCAGGAGTAAAGCCTGGAGCTTGATGTCTACCATCTTCTAAGGCATTGGCACTGAAGCTTTCACAGTGCCATCTTTGCCCCAGTTACTGTGGAGTTCTCTTTCTCTTAATTATTTGTTATCTTTTACATTCTCATGCAGTTAGTTCTTGGTGTGTTACCAATTCTGATCTAGGTGCCCCCCCCCCTCCTTCTCAAAGCCTTTTGTCCCTACTCTATACTTCCTCCTCTAGGATCAGGAAGTTCCTCCTGTTCATCAACCTGTTCTTAGAATGTTTACCTCCTTGCCTTGTCTGAAACTGGTAGTTCCCTGAGGATCCCATTTTCTCTATAGCCCTCTTCAGTGGGTTTAGCACCTTTTTCCCAATATGGCCATCATACTACAACCTCAGAAATTGAATGATATTGTGCTTGCTTCTGTTGCCTCATCTAGACCATTAATACTTCTCTTTTTTTCTAGCTAAATTCTTGTCCTTTGAGGTTCATTTCTCAAATCTCTTCCTATTGTGCTATTGCCTTCTCACTTATTGGCTCTTAGAGTTCTTAATTCTAAACTGAAGCCCTTCTTCTGTTGGTCTTCTTAGTGAGTTCAGCATTTATGTGAATGAGTCATCCAGATCCTGGCTTCTCAGTGTCTTGCCTTCTTTATCTGTGGTGACCACTTTCTGTGCTCCCTGTCAGCCATATATTTCCCTGCTCACACGCTGGACACTTTGCCACTTCCAGAAATGCTACCATATTAGAAAATTTGACGTTAAACATTCTGTTCTATTCTTTGCTAACCCTCATCAAATCTTTTCTACATGTGCACTGCTTGAACTTTCTCACCTTTCAAGACTTGATTCTATAATATCCTCTTTTTTTTATTACAGATTTTTATTTATTTATTTATTTATTCATTTATTTATTTATTTATTTATTTATTTATACAAGCACTGGGTACAGTCAGGAGCGCGGGAGGGTGAGAGAATTCACCAGAGCCAGAGCGGGGAGCAGAGCAGACAGAAGGACCGAAGTACACTGCTGAGGGGAGCAGCGGGCAGCAGGAGAGGTCTGCGCGCCACGTGGGACCCTCCTCCGGTGGCCAGGGAGCAGCCGGGGATCGAACCGGCGCTGCAGAGGCTGTGGGCAGCTTCGCAACCCGGCGCTCAACCGCTGCGCCACTGGGGAGGCCCTACAAATACTTCTTTTAGATGATTTAGTTTTTAAAATAGTAATTTATTGTACTTAATTATTTTTGAATACCAGTAAATAAATTGCCCTTTGATATACTACAGCTTATTTATATTTGTAGCTAATTTTTGCTTTTTCTTATAGTTTTTAGGATCACATAATATAAATCTTAATGGTTAATGCCATTGGTATAGTCTAATGCTACTGTTCACAATGTTTTACACATAGGGACCCCTCTTGCATTTTTTGTATCTATCTGGAGCTGATTAAGTATAGTCTGTGAAGGCTTAAGATTTTGGCTCCTGATATGTATGTAAGTAAAAATATGTATACTAATGCTTAATTAAAAATAACACATTTAAGATATTTTATGGTTAGTGATAATAGTAATAAAGTCCATAGTACTTATTAGTTCAAAGCTTAATATTTGCAAGGTGCTCTGAGATCCATATTACTAATACTATTTTTATAACCCTTTACCATTAAACATAGCAAATTCACATGTTCTCATAATAACTCTGAAATAGGTGAGGTAAACAGTCTCTATATGAGAACCATAATGAATGAGTTATATGTTCCTGGACCTCAGTGTTTGTTTGTTTTTTTCGGGAGGTGATTGTGCCCCTCCTCCCCACCTCCAGAGGACCTCTGATACCTTTGGAAATAGTTTTGGTTGTCCTAACTGGGAAGGGGGAATCCTATTTTAGTAGCATCTAGTGAACGGAGGTGAGGGAGGCTGATAAACTGTAGTGCACAGGACAGTCGCTCACAATAAAGAGTTATGTGGCCGATAAAATCAGGAGTGCTGAGACTGAGAAACATAGTAGTAGTCATTTGAACACATAGGACAAAAATTGTAAAATTTCATTTGATAAGATTTTATCAGTAAGCAGCAGATTTACACCAAACTTCAATTTCTGCACATCTTCATCTTTCTTAGATTCAGGCTGTGAAGGTCCACGATACCCTACAAGCAAAATTTATACCCTAAATCAAAAGAAGTTGAGGATGTGATGAAATTGAAGATTGGAGCATCTCTGTGGCTTATCAGTAAAATCTTGGGAAGGAAGACTCCTGTTCAGAGACCTTACATTTATTATTTTTTTCATTACCAGGTTGTTTCCCAGGCGGTGTCAATTGGGTTTCAGTTGGGAAACAAGACAAACCTGGGCTTCTGATGAAATTGCAGAATCTTTGCACACGGTTGGATCAGGATGAGAGTTTCTCCCAGAGGCTTCCACTTAATATTGAAGAGGCTAAAGACCGTCTTCGAATTCTGATGCTACGCAAACACCCTAGGTACCGTCAGTCAGAGTTGGTGCGTGACGTCCCAGTGATTAATTACAGGCATCATGAGAACATCATACCCTTTTCTCGCTGAGATAGAGGGTCGAGAAAGAACCATTACTCATATACAGGTTTTTCTCTTATTTTAAAAATACAACTAAGTGGCTGTGCTGACCTAAAATTGCTTCTTTTTTCTGCTTTGCTACCTTTCACATAGTCTTTAAGTCTTTTAGACATTCAAGAAACAAATTGATTTCTTGGATGGAAAAAGCCCACTAATGTACCAAATAAAAAGTTGTGTGTGTGTGTGTGTGTGTGTGTGTGTGTGTGTGTATAGATATGTATATATATTTTAAACAAGAGGAAGAGGTATGGACTGTACATTTTCCTCTTTTACGATTTTAAGACACTGGTGACATAATTTTTTTTTTAAAAGAAGCTTAAAATGTCATTAGTAACCAGTAGTGTTTATTTATTTTTTTTATTTAGGTCTCTGTTGATCTTGGATGATGTTTGGGACCCTTGGGTGTTAAAAGCTTTTGACAATCAGTGTCAAATTCTTCTTACAACCAGAGACAAGAGTGTTACAGATTCAGTAATGGGTAAAGGTTATTAATTTGTTTTTTAGTGCCTCTGTGTTTTTAATTCATTTACATTTTAAATATGTGGCATATCAAATTACTTACTGTATCTTGTGATTTTATTGCAGGTCCTAAATATGTAGTGTCTGTGGAAAGTGGTTTAGGAAAAGAAAAAGGACTTGAAATTTTATCCCTCTTTGTTAATATGAAGAAAGCAGATTTGCCAGAACAAGCTCACAGTATTATAAAAGAATGTAAAGGTATGGTTATTTTGTACATCTGGGGCTTATAGAGATACTAATTTACTATTATGTTAGTTAATGAATTGGCGCAAGGGGTTAAGACGCAGCACTATGAAGCTATCTGCAGCCACTGCAGCATGAGTTCAATCCCTGGCCAGGGAGCTACCTACATGGCACAGCAGACCTCTCCTGTCTCGCCCCCTGTTCCCCTCAGCAGTATATTTCAATCAACCTGCCTGTTCTGTTCCCCACTCTGTCTCTGATGAATCCTCTCACCCCCTGCACCTCTGGCCTTTACTCCAGTTCTTGTTTCTTCCCACAAATAAATCTTTAAAAATTTTTTTTTAAAAAGAAGCTTAAAAAAACAACAACCTGATTTTTAAACTGGTAATAATTAAAAAATGAGGCCGTTTTAACACAGTGACTTTTTCTTAGGTTCTCCTCTTGTAGTATCTTTAATTGGCGCTCTTCTACGTGATTTTCCCAATCGCTGGGAGTACTACCTCAGGCAACTTCAGAATAAACAGTTTAAGAGAATAAGGAAATCTTCATCTTATGATTATGAGGCTCTGGATGAAGCCATGTCTATAAGTGTTGAAATGCTCAGAGAAGACATCAAAGGTTATTACACTGATCTTTCCATTCTTCAGAAGGATGTTAAGGTGCCTACAAAGGTAATGGAAGAACCAGCAATCCTTGTCATTGGGTATTTTCGCATGGAACCTTGATGTGGTGCTGAGGATATTGCTAAAGAATATTAGAAGGATGAGACCCTTGTCCTGAGGTGCTGGGATGCAGGATGTGGAAGTGCCACTGCTCTAAAACTCCATCAAGAGTTGAGTTGACCTCACATGAGTGATATGTTTTACAGTGGTTCCAGGGAAGCTGGACAAGCAGTGACTTTTCTCTCTTTTCTATCTTGAATAATTGGACTGCTTCTTATGAAATAGAGACAGTCAGATTCAGATATGGGGTATTTTTTTTGTGCATTAAATGCCTTGTCTACTATCCTTATCATGTATTTTTGTGACATATTAAATGCTTAAATAATTTGTAGGTGTTATGTATTCTCTGGGACATGGAAACTGAAGAAGTTGAAGACATACTGCAAGAGTTTGTTAATAAATCACTCTTATTCTGTGATCGAAATGGAAAGTCATTTCATTATTATTTACATGATCTTCAAATAGATTTCCTTACAGAGAAGAATCGTGACCAACTTCAGGTACCTGCGTCTCTGTCCATTTTTTAAAATTTTTAATTTTTGAATGATTTTAGGCTTGTAGAAAAGTTCAAATTGGTAGTTTCTTTTTAAATTTTATTGAGGTAACATTGGTTTACAATACTTCATGTAATTCAGAGATATAAGATCACACCTCTTCAGATGTGTGTCTCCACACCACACCACACCACTCCATTCCACACCATGCCACACCACACCATGGCACCCATGTTCCTCTACCATATTCCACTGGGCCCCTTCTACACTTTGCTCTCCCCCTCCCTCTCCGGTAGACTTAATTCTGCAGTCAGATTTTTAGAGTCTATTACTAGTTTGGTTTTGACTTACAATTTGTTTTGTTTCTTTATATTCTATTTATAAGTGAAACAATGCAAAATTTTCTTCTGACTTACTGCACTTAACATATCCTCTCTAGTTCTTTCCATGTAGTTCCAAATGTGAAGAGTTCATCCTTTTTTATTGCTAGTAGTATTCCACTGTGTATATATACCTCATCTTCTTAATCCACTCATCTGTCCTTGGGCACTTGGGTTGTTTTCATAACTTGGCTATTGTAAAGAGTACTGCAGTGAACATAGGAGTAGATATCAAGGAATCCTGATAAAGAAGAATGGTGGTATCCTAGTCCTAGACTTCAAACTATACTATAAAGCTTTGTTTATACTGTAAACAAACCAGTATGGTACTGGAATAAAAACACACACACAAACCAATGGCATAGAATTGAAAGCCCAGAAATAAATGCATGCATATATGGACAGTTAATCAGTGACAAAAGAGCCAAGAGTATACATTGGAGAAAGGAAAGTTTCTTCAACAAATGGTGTTAGGAAAACAGAACAGCTACACACACACAAATGTTACACAAAGATTAACTCAAAATGGATCAAAGACTTGGATGAATGTCTGAATCCATAAAATACACTGAAGAATGAAAAGCAAAACTCTTCAGAACTTTGGCTTCAGTGATGTCTTTGTGGATTCATTTCTGTTGGCAAGAAAAACAAAAGAGAATTTAAACAAATGGGACTACATCAAACTAAAAAGCTTCTGTACAGTGAAAGAAAACTATCATTAAGACCAAAAGACTTCCTATTGAATGGGAGAAAATATTTGTACATCACACATCTGACTAGGGGCTGACATCTAAGATCTATAAAGAACTCATTTAGTTCAACAAAAAGAAGACAAAAACCCAATCAAAAAATGGGCATAATTGCTAAATAGGCACTTCTCTATAGAAGACATACAGATGGCCACAGTCACATGAAAAGATGCTCATCATCACTTACCAAGAAATGCAAATCAAAGCCACAATGAGATATCATCTCACAACTGTGAGAATGGCCATATCAAAAAGTTGAGAAACCAGTGTTTTTTAATGGATATGGAGAAAAGGAAACCTTATACACTGATGGGAATGTACTCTGGTCCAGCCCTTATGGAAAACTGGAAATTTCTCGAATATTAAAAATAGATCTATATGGTCCATCAATTCCATGCTTAGGTATCTACCTAAAGAATGCAAAAGTATAATAATACAGTTTATGCATATAGTTTCACCTAGCTTCCCCCAATGTTAATGTCACATAACCTTAATAGGAAATAATGATAATAATGATAAATAATGATAATAATAATGATACAATGCTGTTAATCTACAGGCTTTATTTGAATTTTTCTAGCTTTCCCATGAATGTCCTTTTTGTAGTCCATCAGTATACTTCAAATAATTGAAGCCTCTATACTTTCCTCAAATCTGAAATTCCTCAACTTTATATTTTTATCATCACTTTCAGGAGTCCTTGCCAATTATTTTGTACAGCGTACCTTAGTTGGGAAATCTGATGTTTTCTCCTGACTGGATTGAGGTTACATATTTTTGGCAAGACTACAGAAACATGTTGTGTCATTATTGTATTAGACCTAGGGTATTGATAGGACTTATTACTAGTGATGTTCACATTGGTCACTTGGTTAAAGTGGTTTCTGCCAGTTTCCCTCGTGTAAAGTTACTACTCTTTCCTTTTGTAATTAATAAGTATCTTGTGGAGAGAGTCTCTCTTTACATTCTTAAATAACAGGAGCTAGAGGGACTGATGCTTAGTTACTGTGATGATTATTTCTGTCCTCTTACATGTTTCTTTTGGATTTCAGGATCTGCATAAGAAGATAATCACTCAGATCCTCCATCATCAACCACATTTCACAATCATCTTCTCAATTTTCTTGCATATTGGTACAAGGCCATGCACATAAGAACCATGACACTTTTGTGACTCTTATTTTTTCTTTTGTCTTATTAGTAAGGAGTCTTTTATTAGTAAAAATAGGATCATAGCCTGTGCAGGAGTTTTTGTCTTTATTACTGTTTTTACTTGCAGTGATTTAAAAAGGTATTTCGGTATAGCAGTAAGTGAACCACCTAAAAATTCACTCTCTTCTTACCAGAAGCCTTCCTTTATGGGGAGTATGGATTTGTTTTTAAGCTTTGAAAGGAAATGGTGGATGGGACGATATATTCCTTTATTCAATAAATAAATAAATAAATATTATCTGTTATGTATTGATATTATTTTCCATTAGGAGGACATAGCACAGGTACAAAATTCCTGCTCTCACTGAGATTACATTTTGGGGGATGACTGACAGTGGTCATATAAATTTATTCTCTGTTAGGGGTGGTAAGTGCTCAGAAGAAGCATGGAAGGAGAAAGAGTGATGATATGTGGTGGAATCATCATGACTTGTTGTGTTTACCATTTGCATTTTAATACAGATTGTCAAACTCCTTCAGAAAGGTATACTGATTTGTATCATTATTGATAGTGTATGAGAGTGTTTATTTTATCTAATTCCAGCTAACATTCTTTTTTTTTATAGTCATTATATATTTTATTTTATTTTTTATTTTTTAAATAATAAATTTTATTTTTATATTCCCCATACAATTGCAGCCCCCCCATTCTGACCCCAATCCTTCCCCTCCCGCCCCCCACCCCCCAAAAAGTGTCTCTGGTTCTTAATCACTTCTTTTAGACTGTTGAAATCTGATATTTTTAAAAAAGATAAATGTTTGTTATTTTACTTCGATTGCTAGTGAGGTGTTTGGCCATTTGTATTTTTTATTTTGTGAATTGGTTCTCATGCATTTCTTTTACCTGTTCTTCTGTTGGGGTGATTGTTTTTTCCTCAATGTTGTATTATAATTTCCCAGAGAGAAGAATATTAAGCCCTTATTATATATGTTACAAATAAGTTTTTTGGGGGTTTAGTTCTCTTAAATTTTATTTACATTGTTTTCTATATTGATGATTTGATTTATTTGTATTTTTCTTTTTAATAGTTTACTTTGGTATCATGTTCACAAATATTTCGTTTACCCCAGTATTACAAAAATATTTATCTGTATCTTTTGTTTTTTTGAAGTTTTCTTTTTTATACTTAAGTTTTTAATGCAACTGAAATTTATTTGGATTTAAGATTTAAATTTCATTTTATGTTTCCTTGGAACTGTTTATAATGTGTTCTTTTTTGGTAGCTTCCTTTGCATCCTTAAATTCTAAGATACTTGCTAAGTTTCTTTTAGTGTTAGGATAATGATTGGAGACTTAAAATTCTTTGCTGTCTGTAACAGTGCTTCTGATGTTACTTTTTTATTTTTTAAAGGAACTTTGTGCTTTAATGTTTTCCCTGGATTGGATTAAAGCAAAAACAGAACTCGTAGGCCCTGCTCATCTGATTCATGAATTTGTGGAATATAGTCATATATTAGATGAAAAGGTACATATGAATATGAAAAATAAGGCCATAAAAGATACCTTATTTTGACACTTGATTCTAGGTTTTTATTAGGGGGATGAGTAGAAGGGGGCGAAGAGACTTGGTATCGTTACTTTGGTCTTTGATTGTACTAATTATTTTGCTTTTTACTCTACTGGTAGGATTGAGGTTTTAAAGTTGGAGAAGCAAGGTGTTTAATGATTTTTCTAAAAAAAAAATAATACTTTGATGATTAGATTTTTATTTATTTATTTATTTTTAAGAGGCATGTATTATTTATTTGTTTGTTTGTTTGTTTATACATGTACTGGGTACAGTCAGAAGTGTGGGAGGGTGAGAGAATTCACCAGAGCTAGAGCAGGGAGCAGAGCAGGCAGAAGGACTGAAGTACACTGCTGAGGGGAGCAGCGGGCGGTAGGAGAGGTCTGCGTGCCATGTGGGACCCTCCTCCGGTGGCTGGGGAGCAGCCGGGGATCGAACCAGCGCTGCAGAGACTGCGGGCAGCTTCCCAACCCAGCGCTCAACCGCTGTGCCACTGGGGAGGCCCGATGATTAGATTTTTTATCTCACATTTAAAAGTCTGAATTTATTTCCTAGTGGTTAGTATTTAATTTTAGCTCATAGGAGACTATTGCATGTAAGCATTTAGAGTGACAAGATCACAGAAACAAAAATGTCAGCTCTCAGCTCTGGTTATGTTTCTGATAGATTTCATTTTGTTCACAGGATTGTGCAGTCTGTGAGAATTTCCAGGAGTTTTTATCTTTAAATGGACACCTCCTTGGGCGGCAGCCATTTCCTAATATTGTACAATTGGGTCTCTGTGAACCGGAAAGCTCAGAAGTTTATCGGCAAGCTAAGCTGCAGGCCAAGCAGGAGGTCGATAATGGAATGCTTTACCTGGAGTGGATGTAAGTAGGGTAGGAGAGAAGCCAAAGGGAATGGAGAGCTAACAATGTCATTATTTTTCAGGCAGTGAATAAGTTCACTGCAGGAGGATCTCACTGCTTTGGAAAGGGATTCAACTTTTAATAAGCATTCTTACTGAAAAGTTTTAGAGGAATAAACATAGGGGATCCGGGAGACCAAGGAGCCATAGGAAGTGAGGAAGCGGAGGTTGCAGAGGAATTGGCAGGCACACTGGATCTGGCCATTGGCATGAGCACCTATCCTTTGACCACCATGTCCTCTCCTACCCCCCAACCTGTGCTGCAGTGGATGATGGGCCACTCTGGTGTCAGACCCCTGGACAGACATGTGCGTTCAGTTGGCTGTGAAGCACTTGCACATCAACACACTGCTGCTTGGTGTTCATTCATCCAGAGCTTGAGCAGTTAACAATCACTATTTGCTCATCAGGCTTTTGCTGGAGGCATTTCTATTTCTCTTACTGTTGCTACCAGCATCCACTCATTTAGGTAAAATAAATGATATCTTAAGAGAAGCTGAAATTTTCCTCAAAGCTAGATTTAGAGACATTCATCCAATTTTGGGAATTTGTAGTAAGCTTGCATTTTTGGGAATGCTTACTGTCTACATGCCATGTGGATCATTAAGTGAACTCATCCATGGAAAAACTGAACCCCAAATTTGCTTGACTATAGAGATTTCACATCCTGCAGGAAATTCATTCTGCAGTGTGAATCCTCTATTTCATCATGACTTGAAGACTGACAGTATCTTATTGGGTAATAAATTTCATATTAAGATTGCATATTTTGGTTTATCAAAATGACTCTGATGTCCCCCACAATCACAAAGGAGTAAATTTGTACCAGAAGGAGGGACGATTATTTGCCTCCTGAAAGCTATGAATCTGACACTGGTCAAACATGCTGTGTGTGTGTGTGTGTGTGTGTGTGTGTGTGTGTATACACAACTATCACATGGGAAGTTTTAGCCAGGAAACAGCTTTTTGAAGAAGTCAGTCCTTTGCAGAGAAATGGGTAGTGTATTATTCATCACAAGGACATGGACGTGACACCAGTGAAGAATGTTTGCCAGTAAGCACTTATAATCTCTTCCAAAGACCGAGTGATAGGTGCAAAATCCAGGTGAAAGACCATTTCTTAAAAATTCTTTAAAGAACTAGTTCTGAGAACATTTGAAGAGAGACCTTCTCTTGAAACTGTTAAATCAACTAAAGAAAACAAACTTGTGTACTGTTCACTTGGTGATAAGAAGAAAAGAGTGATTCTGAGCATATGTAAGTCATGGTCCACAAGTGGAATCATCCACGCGGCTCCTTTCAACTCTGTACAAGTAGTGGTTCTGCAACCTCAGGGTCCCTGTCAACTCAAGATCCCTGTCACCAGTGATTTTTTTTTAATCTCCAAAATTGAAGACTTTTCTGTCCTGTACTATGGTCAAATAAATCACAGTATCAATTCAGTATTTAATATTGATAGAGCAAGGATGGGTATGTGGGCTCTCACCATGAAAATGTGACAGTTCTTAGTTGTGTCCATACCCATGGCCATCTGCCTTTCTGAAAGTTTTGCATTTTGCCCCTGCTTAGTTCCACTCTTAGAATTTGTTCCTTCTGTGATCTCTCAGGGTGCTAGTTGTGATCTCTCAGGGTGCTAGTTTCAGTCAGGTCGTTTCCTGGGGACAGGTAGTTTGGGGTCTCAGTGGTGGGCACTGGTTTAAACTTCCCTCCTTTGTCACTCTCCCTGCTACCTTGCTCCACTCCTGCAGTCCTTGAGGCTTGCCCCTGTGGCTGGCACTGTCGCCAGCCCTAGTGCTGGGTCACCTGCTCCTGCACGGCATTGTGGGAAGTAGCACAGCCACAGTGGTGCGTCAGCTGGTTGGGGGTCCTCTTCCTCATCTTCCGTTGCCTGTTGGGCCCAGGTATGGCCTGGAGTTGATATCTTAGGGAGTCTCGAACAGGCGGGACAAGAGCCCGAATGTGTGCTCCTGTGCAGTGACACTGGTTTTTCAGAATTGAGAGTTTTTTGAGTGTTTACTTAATTACATTATGTTTTTTCTGTACATTGTCATTATTAACATATCAAAAGAAAATAGAGACATGTATTTGATTAATGAGTTCTTCTAATTCGGTGACGTTTGTGATGCATTACAGGTTGCTTGATAAAGGCTAGGGTTTTTCTTAAAATGGCACTTCCCTTGTATTATGCTTTTTTCTTCAGGTGATAGACACTGTCATTTACTTGTTGTAATTAAAAAAATTTGTATTTTTGGAACATAACTATGTTGAAAGACAATTTCTTCATTATTGAAAGAAAATAATTACTTTGACTCTCATTTATTGGGTTTCTGTTAATTTTTTTCTTGTGTTTAGAAACAAAAAAAACATCAAGAATCTCTCCCGCTTAGTTGTCCGCCCCCATACAGATGCTGTTTACCATGCTTGCTTTTCTGAGGATGGTCAAAGAATAGCTTCTTGTGGAGCTGATAAAACCTTGCAGGTAAAACATAGATCTTGTGAAAAATTAAGAGTCATATACTATGTGCATATTAGAATATATTTAATTCCAAAATTCAAGGAAATTGCACGTTAGAAATAAAGAAATCCAAATCTCTTGAATATTTTATGAATGCTTTGTCTAGAGATTTAATAGATATAGTTACGTGTTTTCATTATTCTAAACTTGCCAGTTAACATAGAAGTACCCTTTTGCCTGCCAGTCAGTTACCTTCATCCATATACTAACTAAAGATGAGCTGATGAGGAAATGATAATTGTAGAAAACATCACAGACCGGTGAACAGGGCTCTGATTAAAATAGGTTTTAGGTGAAATATCTATTTTATCAAAGGCACAAATATAGATTTCTGACTACAATAGTGATTGTACTAGATTATTTCCTAAGGTGTTTGAGGAATTCACTTTAAGTGCTCATTTATTTACAGAAGACATGAGAAGAGTACTTTCTTTACATTTGTACTCTACTTTTTGATTTTAAAAGAAACAGGATCAAATTAGTTCAAATTTTTATATTTAGGATGGCTATAATCTTTGTGAGATGTGTAAACTTTATTTCTCTATGTGTACTTTGTTGCTGATTTTATTAATTTTAGTTTTCGAGCCCTAGAAAGAAAGCATTTGAATGAAATGTTTTCTATTTGATTATTAGGAACTTGCTAATATAGATTCAAGAACTGAAGCTACCTCAGTTTTTAAAATTGATAATTACAGACATTTAACAATACATAGATTCTTTATGCTCAGGCAAGTTCTGGCAGAAATTCTCATTTTTGGAATGATTTTCCAAGGTTCACTTGTTTTGCAAAATAACATTAGTTAAGATCTTTTAACAAAAAGGTTTTTATTGAATGATGGCCTATGGTTAAGTAGGTTATAGTAAAAGCATTTTATTGTTGCTTGTGCAGGTGTTCAAAGCAGAAACAGGAGAGAAACTTCTAGAAATCAAGGCTCATGAAGATGAAGTGCTTTGCTGTGCATTCTCTGCAGATAACAGATTTATAGCAACTTGCTCAGTGGATAAAAAAGTGAAGGTAAGAAAATATTTTTTTCTTGAGTTGTAATCACTGCAGAATTCATTTTCATTTTCCCTAATGTTATTGGGCAAAGGGTCAAAAACCTCACTAGATCAGAACCTCTCACCTGTTCTGGGTGCAGCCACCTGCCACCTCAAATGCAAATATAAGGGCAGCAAACAAGGAAAAAACAATTTATTCTAATCAATAGGTTGAGAGAGAGGGAGAAGGTCCAATTACCAAGTGACTGTGCGCAGTGGAGTAACAGCCTGCTGCTGGGGGGTGGAGCGAAGGTGTGCTGCCTATAGCAGTGCTGGTGCTGTCCGCCGTAGTTCCTACTAAGGAGAGAGAGGGCCCACTTGCATTGCTCCTTTCTCAAGGCTCAGAGTAGCTGCTCTGCTCTTCCCTCTCACAGCAGCCCCTTGTTTAGGACATTCCGGGCAAAGTTCAGACCAAAGCTCTGTGGAGGCATCGTTCCTTCTAGCTTAGGTAGTGCAGATGCCAGGGCTGGAGTTCTCTCTGTCCCAGGCTGCTCCCACACTAATGAACTAACTAACCCTTTAACAAGGTTAAGGGACTCTTGCTTGTTGATCTACTAACTTGAGGTAAAGCAGTTTTTATCTACTGTATGTTAACACTGTCTGAAAATTCTTTAAGAATCAGCAAAAAATGCCTAGGTTGATCAGCCTGAAATATTCACCAGGCAACTGGTAATATTTCTAATGGAAAAACCATTAGAAATTAATGAATTTTCCTGCCATTAATTGGTAGGTTTATGGGTATTAGTTGAAATTTTTGAGTGCATTGTGTTTGGAAGTGTTGCTGCACAAAATTATTTTCTCAATTCTTATTGTAAAATATATAATTTATAATTTGGATTAAAAGACAACTTACTAGTCTAAAAATTAGAGGAAAAAACACTAATTTTTATCTTTGTTATTGTTTCCTGTGTCATGTCCCCAAATTTGGCTTTTAACCAGAGCATTTATGTTAATACAGAATTTAAGAGAAACTGAATGAAATCTAGGGGAAGGTTTATCTGCTAAATGGAGGGAGAACCTCACTTCAGACACTTTTCAAAGAGGTTATGGAGTGTTGAGTCTGGCTGGGTGTGGTGGGCCTTGGTGGACCTGGCAGCAAGGTGTTTTGCTGACTTTTCATCCACTTTAAGAGCACTCTGGACTGTCCAAACTAAATTGAGACCTTGGAAAAATTTGTTTGATAGACTGGACTTTCTAATTTTACAGCCCATCAGTTAATTCACTCCCTTGCCCACTTTCTGAGTCAGGTTTGGAGTCAGCCACTCTGCAGTTGCAAAGGAGTAAAAGGAAATGATAGCGAGCTTGCATTTTTTTCCCTTTCTTTTTCTTTTTAAGAACTCTTTTTTTTTTTAAAGATTTTTATTTATTTATGCATACAAGAGCTGGGGTATAGGCCAGAGATGCAGGGGGTGAGAGAATTCACCAGAGACAGAGTGGGGAACAGAACAGGCAGACTCACTGAAATACACTGCTGAGGGGAGCAGCGGGCAAGATAGGAGAGGTCTGCTGCGCCATGTGGGTTGCTCTCTGGCTGGCTGGGGATTGAACTCGTACTACAGAGGCTGCGGATTGCTTCATAGTGCGGTGCTTAACCCCTTGCACCACCAGGGAGTCCCTGAGTTTGCATTTTCTTTCTTTTTTTTTTTAAAGATTTATTTATTTATTTATACAAGCATTGGGTACAGTCAGAAGCGCGGGAGGGTGAGAGAATTCACCAGAGCCAGAGCGGGGAGCAGAGCAGGCAGAAGGACCGAAGTACACTGCTGAGGGGAGCAGCGGGCGGCAGGAGAGGTCTGCGCGCCATGTGGGACCCTCCTCCGGTGGCCGGGGAGCAGCTGGGGATCGAACCGGCACCGCCAAGGCTGCGCACAGCTTTGCAACCCAGTCTCAACCACTGTGCCACCGGGGAGGCCCTGCATTTTCTAAGAACTCAAAGTATAGAGCAAGAGACAGAAATACCATTAAAGAACTTCAAAATAGACAAACTCTTTGGACATTTGAGTAGTGCTTTGATAAGATAAAAGAAACACTGGCACATTAGTACCGCTGTAAAGGGTAAAGCCCCCACAAAGATTCATCAGGTAATTTATTTCTTTGGTTTATTGTTAAATGGGACAGACTCCTTAGTGATGGCTACTTTTTAGTGAGAACTTAAACACTTCCTGATGTTTTATCTATACACTTTCTTGCATTCAGTTTCTTACTATAGCTTGGAAAAGTAATTATTAATCCCATTTAACAGATGAGTAAACACGTTCACAGATGAAGTCATTTAACCAAGCTCATAGTAACTACTTACTGATAGAGCTAGGATTGATAGCTAGGTTTCTTTAAGAACCTTTAGTCTTTTTTTTTTTTTTCCTACTGAGCGTTTGCTTATTCATTGATACCTTAAAGTCATTAGAACACTTATATCATTTATCTCTTTTGCCACCTTGAATTGTGTAAGATAGGTTTAAGTGTCCATATTTTACATAGAAGGAAGTAAGATGCAGGAAGTTAAGGACTTGACCAGGGACACACAGATTGTAAGTGATGGAGCCAGTTGTTAGATTTAATCCTTCCAGTTTGAAGTCCATTATTCCATCCCCTTTATAGTACTTCTCTGTCTGCTGTCATTCATATGAATATGTGCAAACTTACCCTTGAAAGGATGTAATGCTTTCATGAGATTCCAAACATATTATAGAAAGAAACATGTGTAGACTTGCAAGTAGTTGAAAAGTGCATCCTATGAAAATTCTGACTTATTTTAGCATTTTTCTTGATTGGGAACACTTGCCAGACTGGCTGGATAGCGTCCATAACGTGGTTTCATGTTCACATTGTCCCTCTCCCATTGAAAATAAGGAATGATTGTGAACGTATCTTCTCTGTTCTCTGTAGATTTGGAATTCTGTGACTGGGGAACTAGTCCACACCTATGAGGAGCACTCAGAACAAGTCAACTGCTGCCACTTCACCAACAGTAGTCATCACATTCTCTTAGCCACGGGGTCAAGTGACTCCTGCCTCAAAGTAAGTGTGGATAATGAGAATTATGAACATCCCCTTTGATTTTCTCATACATTGTATTAATCAGGTCTCCTTTGGTTGTAGTGATAGAAACTTTCATACTGGCTTAAGGAAAAACAAGATTTTAGCTCATGTAACTGTATAATCTAAGAGGAGTATGACTGCAGACAGAGCTAACTCCATATACTTACACTATCTTCTCAGGCTCTGGCGCTTTCCATTTCTGGACTTTGTTTCCCTGTTTCTTACTTCAGGTGTTTTCTTGGTGTGGCAGGAAATCTGTCCTCATCTCCAGGCTTACGTGGGTCTTTGCAGCTCCTAATCACAGAGGAAGAGAAACTTATTCTTTCCCAGATCCTTTTGATTTCATGTTAGAGAAAACTTATTTTCCTGCTTTGGGTTACGCGTTCAGGTAAATAGCTCTAGTGACCAGTAGGTTGGAACCTTTAGGATGCCAAAAGTTACAAATTTAGTCATGTAGAAATGAGACAAATTTAAGATGAGGTAAATTATAATTGAGTTATAAACATGGCTTGATTTAAAAGAGGTTCTGTTACCAGGAGGAAGGAAAAAAGGTGCTAATAGGAAAAAAAATTTAAAAAAGAAACTAAAACCAGAAACAGCTTTTCTATATATATATATTTGATGTTTTATAATTAGAAATTGTAAAACTTTTTTTTTTTTCCTCTTAAGTCACATACTGAAGATAGCTATATTCTCTTTTCTGGGACTCTCAGAAAGATCTACCAACTTCTTTTGGATTCTGTTTTGGCTTTATTTCTGCCCATAATGTCACCGCATCTTTGTAATGGGACATTGTATTTTTGGGAAAGGTAGCTAAAATATTTCAGTTTGGAAAACGTCATAGGCTATTTAAATAAGCTACTTAAAAACAATTTTAGAAAATACAGAAACACTTATTAAAACTAAATCATCTCCCTTTACATCTTTTTTCTCCAAGTGAAAACTTACATAGAAACTTGACGTATAAAAGAGATAAAGCCCATTAAGTGGGTAGGTATGCTATGGGCCCATATTTCTACTCTACCTCTTGTTCCCTCTCCTAGTCCCCACTGCTGATACTCTTCAGGCGTGTTTCTCAAATCCTTAGGGCCCTGCAGAGCATAATATGATCAAAATATAAAAATAACAGACTAATATAGAAATGAAAAATTATCTCACAATTATAGCTCACTTTTACTCAGAAAAGCTTTAGCCTATTAAACCCTCCCCCCCAAATAAGACTTTTGTACTATTTATGACTAATTTTTGATGGTTCTTTTTAGCATTTTATAGGGTAAGAAAGTTTATATTTCCTTTCCCCCCCCTAAAATTGTATTGTCACTTGTTTGTGTAAGTCTGTAATTTTGAGATTAACAACCTCTCACCTCCATATGTGCACTTGCTTCACTCACCCTCCCCCAGAACGCCAGTGCTGATGTCCTATCCACTTCCCTCCCCACTCCTCCCAGCGCCCTCTGGTAATCACTACATTTTTCATGTCACAGAGTCTAAGAATTATTTTTGCTGCCCTTTGTCAGTTTGGCGTTTTTGGTTATTTACAATATATTCCACAAATGAGTGAAACCATTCAGTAATTGTCTTTCACTTTGTAACTTATCTGACTTAGCATGATCACCTCAAAATCCATTTGTTTTGTCCCTACTTTTTTAGCAGCTGAGTAGTATTCCACTGAATATATATTCCAGTTTCTTTACCCAGTTTAAGGGCTGCCCCATTGCTTGTTCATCACAAGTTCACTTTCATATTTGACACTTTTTGTTACTGTTAGTTGAACATCTTTTTTTTTAGGATTTATTTTATTTATCAGGTGTAGGCCAGAGGTGTGGGGGGGGTGAGAGGATTCACCAGAGACAGTGGGGAGCAGAACAGGCAGATCTACTAAAATACACTGCTGAGGGGAGCAGTGGGCAAGACAGGAGAGGTCTGCTGCGCCATGTGGGTCAGCTCCCTGGCCGGGAATCGAACTCATGCTGCAGTGGTTGGCGATAGCTTGATAGTTCTAAGACTTTAACCCCTGTGACATGAGGGAGGCCCCGAACATCTTCTTACAACTGAAATAGCTGAATTGAGAGAAAAGGCACAACTCTACAGGAATACTAACTTCCCCCCACTTTGTACTAGTTTTTAAATTATCTTTTTATCTTCCTCAAATAGCTCTGGGATTTGAACCAAAAACCATGTCGAAATACCTTGTTTGACCATAGAAATGCAGTTACTCACTGCAGATTTTCACCAGATGACAAGTTTTTGGCTAGTTGTTCAGCTGATGGAACATTAAAGGTATGTTTTTGCTTATCATAATCATTTTGATTGTTTAGTGATTTGTTTGAGTGGTTTGCTGCCTGATAACTTTAAAGTTCATGTAATTTGAATTCTTAATTTTTGAAGCAGATTATGACTTCATAAAATATTTTGAGGTTGGGGATCAAATTTGTAAAGTTTCTTTTTTAATATACTTTGCCTTTTATGCTATTATTTTCCTGTTTGTAAGAAGTCATAGGGGAGAGGAAACTCAGGGTTTGAGTAAAAAATCTTATTCAACCTCCTGAAACTTATAGTCCTAAAAAAACCTAAATTCTTTCTCCTTAAATCTCCACTTTCCTTTTCAAAGAAGATCCTAATCTTTCTTTCTTTATTATTCCTGTCTCTACTGTCATTCTAGTTCTCCTCTTTATTGATTCTCCTTTCTTTCTTTGGCCTTCAGTCCAATCCATCCTTAGCCTCTTCTTTTTTTTTTTAAAGATTTATTTATTTATACAAGCACTGGGTACAGTCAGAAGTGCGGGAGAGTGAGAGAATTCACCAGAGCCAGAGCGGAGAACAGAACAGGCAGACTGACGAAGTACGCTGCTGAGGATAGCAGCAGGCGGCAGGAGAGGTCTGAGCGCCATGTGGGACCCTCGCTGGTGGCCGGGGATCGAACTGGCGCTGCAGAGGCTGCGGGCAGCTTTGCAACCCAGCGCTCAACCACTGCGCCAGCGGGGAGGCCCAACCTCCACTTCTTTTGATCTACCATTTCCCCTCCCATTCTGTCGTGTTTGCTCTGGTATACACTGTCCTCACCTCATTTCTGATAAGCAGCCTTCTCTCCATCCCTTCTTATCCCGGTACAGAGCTGCGAGAACATTGCTCTTCCTCTGTTTTCATCTTGCCACTTTCACCTGGAGCACAAAAGTACCATATTATAAATTGATAATTTAAGATCATCCAGTACACCTTTAGGGCTCTTCCCCTTCCATCATTCTGCCACCTCAATTCCTATCCAGTTTGTTTCTTCTAGCCCCCATAATTTTCTGTTCAAGGGAAGGTAATTTGGGATTTATTTTGAACAATTGTCCCAATCGATGTTTCATTTGTGTTTCTTGGGATTTTTTTTTTTTTTTTTTGGCCTTAATTCACTTGTCCATAGGTTTTTTTTTTTTTTAGGATTTATTGATTTATGCATACAAGAACTGGGGTATAGGCCAGAGGTGGGGGTGGGTGAGAGGATTCACTAGAGACAGTGGGGATCAGAACAGGCAGACTGATGGAAGTACACTGCTGAGGGGAGCAGGGGGTAAGTTAGGAGAGGTGTGCTGCACCATGTGGGTTGCTCCCTGGCCGCCTGGGGGATTGAACTCGTGCTACATTGGCTGCAGATAGCTTCATAGGTTGCGTCTCAACTCCTGTGCAACCAGGGAGACCCCTGTCCATAGTTTTTAATGACTCAAAACTTTATGCAAAACCTTCTTGAGAAAGTGTTCTTATAACATCTGCCTACCTGGTTCTGAGCATAGATAGGTAGGTAGGTAGGTAGGTAGGTAGAAACTGTTTTGTCTTCTGATTTCCATTTGTAAGTGTGTTGTACTGCTCAGTCATTTTCATGTGTCTTCTGTTTTTTGATAAGGTTAAATATAGATTTATGATTTACAAAGACTTGTCATTTTCTTATATCTCTCTGAAGTTCATGGTACACAGTTGTACTCAAAATAGGCACTCAGTAAATTTCCTTGATGTGTACATGTTCCAGGAAATACATTCCGGGGCACATTTTGCTTGTTAAAATTTCTAGATAATGAGAGTTGTTAATGCTTGGAGGTGACTCCTACATTGCAGTAAGTAAGCTCTCTTGATGCTGATCCTTTGGTTGAATCTTTGATTTCTCTTTGGTTACTAAGGATAATTCATAGTAATTTATAAATTACTTCAGGGCATCTAGGAACTCTTTCTGGGTAGAATTCTACTTTGTATAAGTAAGCTATGAAAAGATACTGGGAACAGAATTAGGTGGAATATTTAGGTAAGTGAATTTTGACTTCTGTGACATGTTACCTGCAAAGAGCAAATACTGTCTTTTTCTGTAGAATGATCAGAGGAGGTTTTTCAGAATAACCTTGTAGAGGTTAAGGTAACTCTCAGAGATTCTTACTACATATGTGAGCCTATATTTCTTGGTTTTACTAAGTGAATGACTTCAGAAGAAGACATTTTATATCTCAAGCCAAATTCTCCTTTTCTCTTATCTCCATTGCTAATTCCAACTAATGGTAAGATTCCATTATCTTTAGCATTATTCCATTATTACTAGGTTGTTTAATGATCAGGAAAAGATGTGAAACCAGGCCATTTTATCTGTTTCACAAATTTAAGCTGTGTAGCTCAACTGGGCCTTCTTTGCTGACAAATTAAGGTCAGTCCATCCCTAATTGATTTGTTGTAGTTACCATAATGCCTGTTCCAAGGCTTTTCTGCTATTCTAAGCACCCAACCTTGTTACTGCATCTGTTTCATTCTGTGGAGATAACCTTACCTCATAACCTATTCAGAGGTTGACACCACCCTCCAGAGACTCTCTGCCATGAGTCCCCTCAGAAATTGCCATAAGAAGGGTCCGCTTTCTTCATTTTTTTCTCATCTGAATACCCAGAAAGTCCTCTGCTTGTGCATGCTGTTCCCTTCTGAATACTAAAAACAAACAAACGAAGAAAGGTGCACTTACTGTTCAGAGTCGTTTGGGGGAGAATGGTAAATGAATGGAAAAACCGTGCATATGGTGAAAGTATGTAGAGGGTGCTCTGAGAGCAGATGGGGGTCTGTTGGGGAAGTGGTGACACCTGATGTCACCCCCACACTGCACTTGTTTTCCCTCTCTATGTCTTTGCTTTTCCTTTTTGTATTGTAGCTTATGCTGACCCCTTAGCCTAGACTTACGCTTGAGCGTATTCTTCGTCTTTTTGATTGAAATTCTGTTCCATCTGGGCTTGGCATAAGGTAGTCTGATCTTTGAGGGAGAAATGAGAGAAATCCTCTGCAAAAAGTGGTTTCCTGAAGCCTGCAGTTTGGGGCATGGCATCCTTACTCTGTCACGTCGTTCCCTCTCAGATGACACATCTGGCATGTCTTGTGTTAGAGTCATTCATGTGCTTCTCTTACCTCCTTTGTGGCCTAGACATTCCTTGAGAGTAATGTCTATACCTGATTAATTTATATAATCTCAAAGTGATTATCATAGTGGTTTGTATCAAAGTTTTCAAGATGGTGAACCTTTGCATGTCCCTTCAAATCAAACTATGAGTTCTCCAAACTCAAAAAAAAAAAAAAACCTTTTCAGGGACAGGACTTTCATTTCATGTGTGATTGTAGAGCACAGAGCCGGGTCTCAGGGGACAGGCATTACCGCACCCTCAGAAAACTGCTATGTTTGTGCAGCTTTCCCACAGTGCTGTTAAGCCATTGTTCTTGACTGATTCACACTGATACAGTGACATGTAGTAGGCAGAGCTCTCGCCAAGTGATGTTGGATAACAGCATTTCAGGGTCAAAGTCTCCTAAAGTGTTTGCCTTCTGAGAGGATGCAGAACTGGAAAATTATTATTTTTTTTATTTTTTAATTTAATTTAATTTTTTTTAAAGATTCATTTATTTATTTATACAAACACTGGGTACAGTCAGAAGCGCAGGAAGGTGAGAGAATTCACCAGAGCCAGAGCGGGGAACAGAACAGGCAGACTGACGCAATACACTGATGAGGGGAGCAGTAGGCACGGCAGGAGGGGTCTGTCGCGCCATGTGGGACCTTCGCTGGCAGCCGGGGATCAAACCAGCACTGCAGAGGCTGTGGGCAGCTTCGCAGCCCAGCGCTCAACCACTGCGCCACCAGGGGAGGCCCAAGAACTGGAAAATTATTGACTGCCCAGGTAGCTCTGTAATCTTATAAGCATTCCTTGTAAGCATCATACTTATAAGTGTGTGTTTTTCAGAATCTTGATACAGTTTCAAGAGGTTAGTTTTATTTAAAAACTGGCATTTTAAACCATGGGTCAGAGTGCACATGGATCTTTGATACAGCACAGTGACTTGCTTAATGTGAAGCACTGGTATTTACTTGTTTACTCAATATGTTTAATTTCATCATTTCTTGGCAAGGCACTGAAGTCAGGTCCAGATGCAGAAGATGTAATTTAGATAGATGTAATGAAATTGGGTTGTTTTCTTTTCTACCTTATGTCCGGGCAGTGATTATTTTGTTTTTCATTTTAAGAGGGCTAACACTGTGTGGCCAACAGTGTGACTTTTCACATATTCTGGCTGAGGTGACTGAAGCTTTTGACATTTATGTGTATACTTTTTTCACTTTAATATTGGAGAAGACAAACTAATTTTAACATCCAGCATCTATTTTGCTTTATCCCGTTTATCCGTGGTTGTTGCAAGGGGAATGGCTTTGGTTTTGGCTCTATATCTTAGTATAAATAATATTTCTCTAAATTTGAGAGATTTTAAAATGTGCCTTGTCAGACAAATTGGGTTTTACCTGGGAGCTGGGCTTTTTGGAAGCTCAGTTAGATGGTCTCGGCATGGCAGCCATTATGACTGTGAAGCTGGGACACTTCTCCAGACCAGGGGAGTGAAGATTGATCTTCTCACTAACTTTGTCTTCTGTGTTGCTAGCACTTATCTCAGCTGGTGAGGGGAGTTTGGTATTTTAAAATCACACCCCTGTTCCAGTTGTTTTAGAGTCCTGTCTGGCCCTGCCTGGCATACAAATTATTTTGTTTCCTCTCAATATATTTGTTTTACATTTTCAGGCACTTCCTTATGTGTCTGGATGCACTGCTTGGTTATAACTTGGTTCTGTGTAGTGTCCATGCTGTGCATACTGTAGTGTGAAGCCGACTTCATGGCTGGCACAGCAGAGGGCAGCAGTGGCAAGTTTTGAGTCTCTTCACCTCACCCTTTATTTCAGGCTCATCCTACTGTCAATACCTAATTTTTAGCCTTTTCCACACTTTACAAGGTGCTTTTTTTAACAATTTATTTAGTTTTATATTATGCATTTTGGGTGTGCTTTTAATGTTTTTCTTTTTAAGAAGGTGCTGGAAACTGGATAATTAATTTAAAAGCCTTACAAAAAGTCATAATAAGTAAAAATAAACCACTAAGTGATTAATTTTTTTGGGTGACATTTTATCCAGGTGAAACTCTAGAACTATAATTTGAGATTAGAGCAATTTAAAATTTTTTTTCTTTTTGGTAATTTAAAGCTCTGGGATGTGAAATCAGCCAACTTGAGGAAAAGCATTGATGTGAAGCAGTTCTTCCTAAATTCAGAAGAACCTCAAGAGGATATGGAAGTGATAGTGAAATGTTGCTCATGGTCTGCTGATGGTGCTAAGATAATGGTGGCAGCAAAAAATAAAATCTTTGTAAGTATCATTAAAAGCCAAATTTCATCTAATTTAAAGAAAGAACTTTTATGAATTTTTGCATTTTTAATGTTTATTGATATAAATAAAGTACAGTTTATAATTTTGGGTAGGTTCCCTAACCTCTCATAGTTCTTAGAACTATGGTCCAGGGGCTGTCCATGGACCTTGTAAGGAAAGGTCTCCAAGACAATTTGGCAAGTGTAAGTATCGCTTTCCCCCACTAGAGGTGCTCAGTGTGTATTAACATATGCAAGGCCCCCAGAAGTCCTGCAGTGTGAAAAGATTTATGTTGTTAAATCTAGTGTTTCTTATATTTACTTAAAATATAGACTACTTTCTATATCCCCCTTTTTTTTCCTCACAATTTTGAGTACATTGATTTAGGTGATTTTCTGATTCGGTGACTGCCAGGGAGAAATACTCAACAACTGAAGAAAGTAGTGAGATTTCTATGAAGTAAATGAGGAAGACATGCAAAGAAAGTAAATGACAAGGAAACACCTTCCTTTTTTCCCCACATCTAGTATTACGTTCTACTTTCTCTACATCCTTGCAACACTTTTTATTTTCCATTTGTTTTAAAATTATCATCATGTTATTATTAACATCTTGTGCCACCAGGGAGGCCCCCAAATTTGAACATTTTAAAAGATCTAGTGAGGGGGGCTAATACTTTTATGTCTTAAAAAACAGCCTGTAGGCTAGCTCCTTATTTTACCATGCTAATTAAACTACCTTAAGATCACCCTTGACTATGCAGAGATCTCAATTTCTTACTCTTTGGCTTCTCCATTCTTCTCTTATTTTTTCCAACTCTTTTGTGTTGTTAGTCACTCTATTGTTGGATCTGTTGTTTTTTTTTTTAAATTCCTATTCCATAATTGGGACAGCTGCCTCTTCCATATTTGCAAGTTTCTTCTGTCCTTCTCAGGTATGATTTCTTATCCGTTATTATCAGTCCCTGATGCTGTGCTGCTTACCGCCCATATCTGCTTTTAGGCTGTGCATTCAGAAAACATTTCCATGGCTCCTACTGGAAGCTACTTTTTCTTCCTGAAGACTGTGCCTTGGTCTTAAATTGCTATATACTATATTGGTTCAAGTTCTTATCATTTTGGCAAAAACATTAGAAAAATTTAGTCAGCATTTAAAATGCCTTTCATAAATTGGAATTAAGAAACTTGAATTACTCAAAAATAGCTCTTTGGGGTTTAAAAATGGAAAAATGATTGATCGTAATGGAATCATTTTGTAGCTCTGAAGAGAAATAGAAAGGATTGAGTTAATTCCATTTTAGAAAGACTCTGTTCTAGCCCAGCTGGTACAGTGGAGGATTGTAGAAAGCCTCTACTCTAGATTACTTTGATCATCTTCATTTATGAGTATGCCTTTTCTCTTTTGAATAAATAGCATTAGGGAGAACTTCTCTGTATATAAATTTGGCTAGTCTGTTGATTTATTCACAAAGATTTTATTTCTCTTGAGGCCAGCAAGAGAAATCACCTGTGATAAGTTTTACTTTACAGGAAACATGTTTCAGATTAAGCAATATTTTGAAAGTATTTTGAATATATTTATTTATATCTTATTTAAAAGTGCCAATAATTATGACAATTACCAGTAATTGTATTTTTTTAGGAATTATACTTTATATTTGAAATGGGAGGATTTTTTTAGAAATTAATTTAGGCTCATTTTGGACCTAGCTTTTAAAATATTTTACTTTTATAAATATTTCCCTATTTTATGTTGACAGCTTTTTGACATTCATACCAAGAACCTGTTGGCAGAAATTCATACAGGTCATCAGAGCACGATCCAGTACTGTGACTTCTACCCGCAGAACCACTTGGTAATAGTGGCTTTATCCCAGTACTGTGTGGAGGTGAGTAGTTGAATTTACTCTCTGAAACCTGGATCTCCAGAAGGAGAAGGATGATAAATAATGGGTTGCTCAAACCATAACTGCTGAAGATGTTGGCCTGAGAAATTGTGGAGTGTTTTTCTCATGGCGTAATGACCTGTAGCTTTAAGATATTAAACTATAGAGCCAATTCTATTACTTGAGCAGTGATGGAAGACTTGATTTGACAGTATAACAGGTATAACAATATATTCACCAAGCTTTATTGAATGGCTAGGATATGCCAAGGTCTGGAGAAGCAATGGAATGACCATGAATTTCCTAGACAGAAACATCTCTTAAACACCATAGGCATAGGCCCTTCTGTAAAAGAAATGATGAGAGATGAGTCCAGTTCAGAGTGAGAAGAGTAAGATGAAAGTTGAATTTGGAAGTGATTAACTTTGGATCATCGTTGCTAAGCACTAAAGAATAAAATGACTCTTATAAATTACTTGTTTATATCTTTGTAATTTTGCACGTACCTGATAGAATTTATTTGCTGACTTTGGAAGAGTCCCATTCAATGATTTGTTGTGTTAAATTTTTTTACAGGAGCAATAAATTCCTTGATATTTTTCCTCCAAAGATGGATTAGATTGTTTAACACCAGTAATTTGAAACCCCTTGTTATCTTGAAAGAAGATAGGTAGGAGCCTTAATGTGGTAAATAGGAAAAGTCACTTGATTTACAGGCTTTTTTGAAGGAATCTTGACTGCTGCAGTTACTTCTTCAGTTTTCTGTGCTTATTTCAGCATTCTCAGTTAGGGTGCTGCTTGTGCATATCAGAAGATTGGATGTGCTAGGAGATATTGCACCTTCTCTGTAGATCCTCAGGATAGATGGGAAATTTCTCCTTTCTGGGCTTTGCAAGCAATTTTAGGCATGGAGGAGCAAGACCTCTTTCAGCCTATCCCATCATTTCTAAAATCCCTCCCCTCTGCTATTCTTGGAAAGCTCCAGGAAACATTGTCTTTCTTCTTGAAATACAGGGACTCTGTTTTAGAAACTGCGTGACAGAGAAATGATGGACGAGAACAGGAAGGGATGAGAGGGAAGGGTTTTCAAGGGAGATTTTTTTAGCTGTGGAATCACTTTCATTTGTGGCCTTTAGCTCTGTGTGTCCCAGCTTGGACTCTAGAGATTGGCAGAGAAGATTTCATACAATTACTTTGTAACCATAGAACTCACTGATTGAAAACCACTGGGCATGTGATGAGGTACTTGTTTTGTCCATATTAGTTCTGAAATCATAAAGTAGGTCTGTAATTCACAGTGTAATGAGAGGAACTCAGGCACATATGGTACTTCATTAAATTGGAATATATTTGAGTAATTTACAGCAGAACTCAGGACAAAATATAGCCAGGCTGATGACAGACATTGGCGATTTGTAATAAGCATGAATAATGAGAGAAATGTGTACATGTACAATTAGTACACTCATTTATTGTAGGGTTTTGCAATCATTTGAAATGAGGATTAGATGACAGTGGGAAACAGTTTGAATATGAAAGGTGGTTATATAAATCCCACTTTTTTAATTGTTTTTTTTTTAAAAATAGATAAAACCTAAGCATCATTCCAAATCAAAGCTTTACAATAAGTTAGATTCAGAGAAAATCTTGCTTTCATCCCTTTCCCTTGCCTGCCACTCTTCTTAAGTGAGATTCAATTGACATATCACATATTAGTTTCAAGTGTACAACATAATGATTCAATATTTGTACATATCACAAAACAATCATAAGTCTAATTAACTATCACCATAATAATTATAATTTTTTGCCTTGAGTTGAGAACTTTTAAGATCTCTCAGCAACCTTCAAGTATGTAATAGTGTCACTAATCCCAGTCACCAAGCTATATATTACATCCCTACAACTTATTTTATGACTTAAAATTTGTACCCTTTTCTCCCCTACCTCCCTCCCTTGTCCCTTGTCCCAGCCAACCCTATCCCTGGCAACCACCAGTTTGTTCTCTGTGTCTGTGACACAGGATTTGTTTTGTTTTGTTTTTAGATTCCACATATAAGTGAGAGTATATAGTATTTGTCTTTCTCTGTCTGACTGACTTCATGTAGCATGATGCTCTGAAGATCCATCCATGTTGTTGCAAATGACAAGATTTCCTTTTCACAACTGAATAATAATGTATTATATATATATCTCATATTGTCTTTTCATTCACCCATCAGTGGTCATGTGGGTTGTTTCCATAACTTAGCTTTCATGAATTAGCCTGCAGTGAACTGGGGGTGCATTGTTGCTGATGCAACAAGTGTTTTGCAAATCTTTTTCTGTTAGTGTTTCTGTTTTCTTTGGAGAAATACCCAGAAGTGGAGTAATTAGATCTTATGGTTGTTTTATTTTTAATTTTTTGACGAATTTCCATACCGCCTTCCATAATGGCTATACCAATTTGCATTCCTACCAAAAACCCTCACTCATTTTTTTCTCCCTCCCCCATAGGTAACCACTTTTATTTTTGGTTTAACATTCCAGTGTTTCTTTTTGCATATATAAATAGATATATGTATATATTTCATATCTGTGGTATATACCTTCAAATATCTGTCAATATATCCACATACTTATATTTCATCCATTACAGAATATAGTGTATGTATATATACTCTTCTGAAGAAATAGATGTGTGTGTGTGTGTTCTTTGCTTTCTTTTCGTAAGCAGTATATACCAGAGACTGGTCTTTTTCAGGGAGCTTTACTCATTTCTCTTTGTGGCTGCATAGTATTCTATTACGTGATTAATGTAGTTTATTTAATACTTCCCTACTGATGGTCATTTGGGTTGTTTCTAAATTTTTTTGTATTAAGGATAATGATGTAATAAGTAATTTCCCTACAGTCATTTTGTATTTTTGCTAGTGTATTTGAGCTATATTCACAGAAGTGAAACTGTTGGATCGTTTTTGCTGTATTCAATATTCATATATTCAAAATGCTTATGAATTTCATTTCCTTTATGCTGTGTCTATTCTGTAGTTGTGGAATGTGGACTCATGTTTAAAAGTAGCTGATTGCAGAGGACATTTAAGTTGGGTTCATTGTGTGATGTTTTCTCCTGATGGATCATCATTTTTGACATCTTCTGATGACCAGACAATCAGGGTGAGATATGTTGTGATTTTTATTTTAGAAATTTACTCATGATAAGTGAAACCTCCTATAAACTTAGAATTTGATGGAAAGTATTGGGAGAAGTAAAACAAGAGCTACTCATTATTTATCCTTCAAACGTGCTAATTACATGTGTTAATACTATATTAGTCTCATTGCTATAGTACATATTGAATAGTACCATGGGTCGGACAAGTGACTAAACTGTATTTTGGTTAACTTAAATATATTACCTTTGATTTATCAGAGGAATGTTAACTCTTTCCTCTACCTTGAATTTCCACATGTAATTCCTTGCCAGTTCTAATAGATTCTACCTTTGCATTTTCTATCATGTGTTTCCACTTTGCCACTTCAAGTTTAGATGCTTATTACCTGTTGCCTTTTTTGTATCAGTATCTGCCATAGATCTTTTCTTTCTTGGTTTTCCGCATGCTGCTTGCAAGGTATTTTCCTGTTGTACAATGCAGTCATGCCATTTTTGCTCTAAAACAGATAATGACTCTTTTGCCGTCCAAAAGAAATATGTCACCAAGTCTGCCATTAAATTTCTCTATAGCATTTCATAGCCTCATTCTGGTCCAGTCTGTCTTCTAGTTTATTCCTGTAGGTAACCAATATTGGACTGGTCACATTTTCCCAAACACCCTGTAGTTCCCTGCTTCTATACTTTTGCTTATGTGGTTTCTTATGTTTGGAATAACCTACATCCCTATGTCTCTCCTTCTTGAAATTCTAATGATCTTATAAGTCCCTGTAAACCTTCTGTGAAGGCTTTCCTAGTACTCCATTCGGGAAAATGTCTTCTTTAATTTTCATGTAACTCTATGTCATTTTCTTATGTATAAAATCTGCTTCAAATTTAAGTACAGAGTTGATTTACTCCAAACTGTCAATATTCTGCTCTGATTTATTCACACACCTTAGATTATAATCACTTTGAGGCCCCGGAGCCTGGTTTGTCCTTGTAGCATCTAACAATAGTGTTGTGTACAAGTTTTAGTTAAAATTTATTTAGTATTTATTGTATGCCAGGCATTGTATAAAGTGTTGTACATGTATTAATTTGTTAATTCTTTTTGCTGCTACAGAAACAGAAAGATTAAGTCAGTGCTACTTAAAGCACCATTTCAATAAGGTTGAGCCAGAATGTAAATCAGTGCATTGCTTCCTTCACTGGGGAAGTCTTATTGAAAAAAATCATCTGTATAACTAAGTATATTGTTAATAGTGTTGTTCAGTGATGTAGCTGATTTACATTCTGGCTCCTGATCTCAGTATCAGAAGATTGGAGACCAACAGAGGGTTCTTATCTTTGAGTAGCACTAGGTTAAATAATCTTGCCAAAGTCATAACTTTAGGTGCAACTAGAATTCATAAAAGGTGTTTTGGTTCTAGTACCCATTATTCTTAACACTAACTGCTTCTTACTGTAGCATGTAAATAACAAATAGTTATTATTATCGAATTATAATTTAATAACTGAAAAAATTTCTAGCATCATATGCATTTTCAGTGTGAAGATTGGTTTGTATCTTGCTTTAAGACGAAGACTTGTCTTTACATTATTTCACAGATGCATCTTTCTTATTTTAGTATTTTTGATCTCTTAATCAGCTCTGGGAGACAAGGAAAGTATGTCAGAACTCTGCTACTGTGTTAAAGCAAGAAATAGATGTTGTGTTTCAAGAAAATGAAGTGATGGTTCTTGCAGCTGACAATATAAGACATCTGCAAGTAAGTATTTTTCAGAAAACAATTGGAGAATTTGGTTTGATTGAACTCACAGTTCTCCTTGTCTGTTTTTGGACTTGGGGTTGGGCATAATTGTGTGATACCTACCAGATGTTCAGTAGGTATTAGTTGAATAAATTCATAAGTCTTGAGCTTAGGCTCAGATATACAATATTTAGAACTAAATAAGGTGAAACTTTCCGTCCCCTCGTTCTTCTGTTTTCATCTGATCACAATGAGGACCACCCTGAACTTGCCCACTACAGTGATTTAGACATGTCTGTTGGGGTGTACACAGGGAGTGAGAGACCAGTGGCAGCAGAGAAAACATTTTGTTCTTTGAAAGAACAAAAGTCACCTTACGTGAGGTAAGGATCTGACCTATTGAAACTGAGGTAGAATGAGCTGGACTTCACATACTGAAATATTCCTGTGCATCATTGAGCTACTCATGCATTTGTTCAAGAAATAATTATTGAAAGAAAAAATAATAATAATGCTTACTATGTTCCCTAAGAAGGAAAGGGTCATGAGGTAAAGTTGAAAGAACTATCACTTGTGATCCAAACAGCTCTACTCAGATCACTCTTTCCCTTCCCCAACAAAGAGTGGAACACACGAGAGGAAGGCATGTTTTTGACTGGATGAAGAGGAAAGGAGCCTCAGAAGTCCAGTGGCTGGAGTGGTAATTTGAGTGTTGGTAACAGAGTAGTTTCCCAAGTAGTTTTCCAGTTTCTTGGAACTGGTGTTCCAAGAGCAGGATTGCACCACTGTATTGACCTGAATAATGTCTGTGTGGAATTCCAGAGCACTTGTTGTTGGTGTTGGATTGGTGAAAAACTCCTGGAAGTAGAGGTAGCATTCTAGGTAGAGGCAGCAGGAGAAAGCAACACCTCATGAAAGGTCACATGTAAGGTACTGCCCTCAGGTTGGCCAGCCCAAGCAGAACAGCTGAGTAGGGAACATTGTAGAAGGTGTCAACATGTTGAGCTAGTGACAGTGACTCCTGACAGAGAGGTAGCAAGAGTAGCAGCTACAGATGAAGTGGCTTTTATGTAAGCTTCCCCTTTGCCCTGAGGAGTCTTTGAAATACACTGGGTTGGGAGGGACACTGAGCTGTAATGCTCCTGTCAACAATTTTCTTCTAGTCTGTTTGTCATTTTAGCATGAAGACCTGCGTTAATCTTTGTTCCAGATGATTTTACAGAAGGGTCTTACTAACTTCTAGGGAAAGGTTTTAGCAGAGATTATGTGATCTTATGCTGTCTTTGCATTTGATACTTCTTGACTGGGTTATTGAAAAGTAGGGAACAAGAACATGTTTGAGAGAATGAGATGAGATAGTGACATAGAGCTAAAGTGAAGAGAGAAAGGGAATACAGAAGAGGCGAGAAATAGGTACATGTCCACAAAAGGTATGAGAGATCACAAGAGCTTGAGACAGAGGGCAGGGCGGCTTAACGTGTTCTAAAGCTTCAAGGCTCAACTTGCTACAGTGGAAAGAGTGGTGACTTTCACTCAGGAGACCCTAGTTCAAGTTCAAGCTTTATCATTAGCTAGTTCTGTAATGTGAGTAAACTATATCAGTTGTCTAAGCCTTACTTTATTCATGGATTAGGTCCTTTTCATCTTCAAAAGTCTGAGCTGGTTATAGGGCCAAAGTGGGATCCAGATTCAGGAATGGGGTATCTGTTAGTAAATTGGTGTGGTAGTTTCTCTTGTCTGCTGTGGGGCTTAGAATCAAACTGTGAGACACCTTTAAAAATGACTGGTTTTGTACTTTGCAAGTTTTACTGCTGTCTTTAGTATGTTATGAGGTGCTCTTAATGCCCTTTATTTCCAGGGTAAGGAATGTGAATTGCTCATAACTGATTTGTACCAGGATGATTCTTCCACTGGGGTGTTATCCACTGCTTTCTTCTTGTCCAATTCAGTGTCTTCCTGCTTTTGTCACCTTTATTAAATGTGTGCAACCTTTCTTTAACAGTTGTCATAACTGTGAAACTTAAAGAACAACTCATCTGACTATAAAGTATCATTTTATACCATGTCAACTATTGTGGGAGAGTTTAAAGGATAGTTAAACTGACAGTAGTTTAGTTTAACTGAACAAAACTTTTTTTAGTCACTACTTAAAAAATATGGAAATGATTTTTGAGAGAAAGAAGATATTCAGCCTTTCATTTTGAATGTCTACTAGATCAGAACATGCTGGGTAAACTATGATAAAGAAGCAGCTACCTATGATTGGTTGACCCTCTAATCTTTGTGCCTGACTGTGTATTTCATGTTGAAAATAATTCCAGGCTTTTAGGTTGTGACATAGTAAGCGAGGGGTATCTGATAATTTAAACTCGAGAAATATTTTCATAGGTCATGTGTTTTAGTTGAATGTTAGGCATCTTTATTAGTGGGATTTATAAAAATAATCATTAGCTTTGCTACAGATTATGAAACTTGGTGATCTTTGTTTAAATATTGCAAATCCATCCACCCACATTTGGCCATGGATACTTCTCCCATACCCCTTCCCTCGCAAAAGAAATGGGAAAAGACTCTTAACTTCCATTGTTTTTAAAGTGAGTTAGAGAATATAAAACCATTAATATCTGTCTCATTGCTGTGTCACCACTCCCCCCCGTGAAAAATATCAGAAAAAAGTATTTTAGCAAATGATAGCCCTATTATAATGGGCTTTGGGAAGAAGTGGAAAGCAGGGTGTGGAGCTAGCTGTGGGATTGCAGATCATACCAATGTGTCTCAGGTGGTAGGCACAGCAGCTGCTTTTGAAACCTTTTAAAGCTTGTTTTATTTTATGAAAATGTATTTGAGCCACAGAAGTGAAATGAAAAGAAAGCGTGAGGTGCTAAATGTGGCTCTGAGACTCGGATGGGGCTTTGTTGCGCCCCTGGGAGCTCTTGTTGGTTATTTTCTGTTTTATTTTTTCAATTGAAATTTCTGTGCTAAAGAACCCAAACTGCTCTTACAGGTTAATAACTGATTGTGCCTTGTTTTTCATTAGCTCATTAATGGAAAAACAGGTCAGACTGATGATCTAACTGAAGCTCAAGTTAGTTGCTGCTGCTTAAGCCCCCATCTGCAGTATATTGCATTTGGAGATGAAGAAGGAGCCATTAAGGTATTCAGTTCTCATCTTCAGAGTCATTCTGTGCCACATAGCTATTTATTTAGGATTCATTATATGTCTGTCATTGTAGACTTATATGCTAAATAAATCTTTCTATGATATGCTTGTCATTCTTCCATCGGACTGGAAGGAATCTTACAATCCTGGTGCATGTATGATCTTCAGACCGCCTTACCATTGTTTCTCAGACTTATTTCTCTTATTTCCCTCAGGGTTATCAAATAATACAAATAATATATATAAGTCACATGAAGTTACCAATATTTGATTGTTTGTGGCCTGTGAAATTGTAATTTCATATGATTCAGCCTAGTTTCTTCAAGTAATAATAACTACCATTTATTAGTTGTTTACTATACCAGACTTCTCACTGATTTGTTGTAACATTCTGTATGCTTGCTATCATTACTACTGTTTTACAGATGTCTAAACTCCCTCTTTCCATATCTTTCATAAAATAAGTGGCAAAGCTAGAATCCAAACCTAGGCCTCTGTGCTCATCTGCTATGCTGTACTGCCCGCCCCTTTAGGAATGTGGCATTCAGGCATGGTTGTTATTTTTTGAGTTTTCTTACCTCTTTGTTAATCTCTGCACTAGGCATATTAGTTGTAAGCTCTCTTACATCTTTTCATGCTTCGGCTCCCCCTCCCTCCCTCCCCCAAGCCCTTCTTTCCCATGTCCTGTCTCCCACATCATCCTTGTCTTTCCTTGTCTCTGAAGAGTTGGCCTGTCTGTCATCTAGGACATTTTTCTTCCTCAACCATCTTAAATGTCATTTTCCTTTGGAGGCTGAGCCTAGACTGCCACTCGTTTAATGCATTGGTAGCTGAGCACCCAGAGGACCACTGGTTCCTGCTGCCATCTGGTGATTCAGTGAGTGTTGTATTTTTTGGTGTGTTATGTGTATGTGTGTGCCATTCATATTTGTCTTCATTTAAACTGCAAGCACTATGAGGTGGAGAGTCCATACACTTCTGTAGTCTTATTTCAATTTAATATCTTTAAGGTCTAATAATGCTTAGCTGTTGCTGAATGTCTTTGTATTAATTTTCTGCTTTGAAGATTTTAGAGCCCCTAAACAACAGAACCTTTCCATCCAGAATTGGGCATAAGAGCACCGTACGGCACATGCAGTTCACGGCTGATGGGAAGACTCTTATTTCCAGCGCGGATGATCCTGTAATTCAGGTGAGGGGGATGAACTCCTAACATATGTAATGTTGACTCTAGCAAAGGAACACTGATTATGGCCCGAATCTGGTATGCATTTTAAGCTTTTTTTTTTTTTAACTATTTTGGGCTGGTTCCTGTTGCCCTTTTTTTTTTTTTTATAAAGGATTTATTTATTTATTTATACAAGCACTGAGTACAGTCAGAAGCACGGGAGGGTGAGAGAATTCACCAAAGCCAAAGCGGGGAACAGAACAGGCAGACTGACGAAGTACACTGCTGAGGGGAGCAGCGGGCGGCAGGAGAGGTCTAGCGCACCATGTGGAACCCTCCACCGGTGGCCGGGGAGCAGCTAGGGATCAAACTGGCGCTGCAGGGGCTGCGGGCAGCTTCGCAACCCAGCTCTCAACCGCTGCGCCACCGGGGAGGCCCCATTTTAAGCATTTTTTAAAGATCATACTACTTTGTACATACATTCAGATCTCTCATTTAGGCTTAGGTGAAACCTATTCATGTTTAATATTTTTCTGTGGATGAGTCAGGCAATTTGACTTAAAACCATCTACTGGAAGGTTGTTTATTTAGAAAATCAAGGATAATTTGAACTCTTCTGCCTGATTCGGGGCTTTGTATTAATAGGTGCTTTTTTGCCATATTTATGTGTTTTTTTTTTTACAATAGTAAAATCTGATTAAAATAATTTAATTCTTTGCTTTTAAGAATAAGGTGTGTAATAGCAGGATGAAATCCTCTACCCTAATGAAGGATTGTGGCTATAGAAACTTTAGGCCTGTACTACATGTTCTTTTAAAATTTATTTGTACCTAAGTGTACAAATAATATTACCAGGCTTAGTATGAAATAGGCCTCCCAGTTTCTTTCTACAGAAAAACCACTTTTAGCTTTTAGGTGTTTCTTTTGATATTTATCTTCATGCTCTCATGTTACTTGTTTATAGTGTTAGTACTTGATTTTTTTGTTACTCTCTAGATAAGGATACCCTGATATCCTTCTTCAGGGAAAAGCATTCCTAGACTAAGAGATGCCAAGCTCTGAGAGTCAAGACTTGGTAGAGAGGGTGGCTGCTGTTTGTGGAGCTTGAAGGAGTAGAGGTGTCCTTTTTTTTTTTTTTTTTTTTTAAACAGTTTTTCCTAATCCTGATAGCAAAAGCCTTAAAGACTTTTCTGCTGTTTAACCTTTACCAAAAACTAGACCCAGAATACTGGGACAGTGCCTGATTTTTTTCTTTATCTTTTCATTCCTGGTGTTAAAAGATGACTACCCTCTTTGGTATTTTTTTTTTTAAGATTTATTTATTTATACATACAAGAATTGGGGTAGAGGCCAGAGTTGTGGGAGGTGAGAGGATTCTCCAGAGACAGAGTGGGGAACAGAACAGGTGGATTGACTGAAATACACTGCTAAGGGGAGCAGCGGACGAGTCAGGAGTGGTCTGCTGCACCATGTGGGTTGCTCCCTGGCGGGGGGATCGAACTCGTGCTGCAGTGGCTGTGGATAGCTTCATAAGTTGCATCTTAATCCCTTGTGCCACCAGGGAGGCCCCCTCACCAGGTGGCCTTTGGGGATAACTGAGATCTCTAAAGCTTAGAAATTCCATGGCCCAATTTAAAACTGCCAGGAGTCAGTGGCTTTAGTGGCTACAAGCTACAGACTTGCCTCGCTTGTAAAGTTTAAAAATCTGTGAATATGTAATTGGGATAATTGTCTCGAAAATTTAATCAGATGGTGAGCTCACTTGCATATTGTGGCTCTTCTCTGTCTTCTGGTATAATTAACTGCTCTCCAAGCAACTGAAGAAAACAAATTTTATTTAGGAGGAAAAGTATTTTTATTTTGCCCCTAATCAAATTAATTAACTCCTGCTTTTCTCTCCTCTGTTTGTAAAATGGGGACACCATGTTCTTTCCTGGTACTCTTCTTTGTGTCATTGAGGGTAAAACACTTAAGATAAGTGACCGCACATTCCCCCACCCCTCCAGTGGGCTATTGTAGGGGTTGTAACAGACTTATTTCTTTGAAACTCAGGTATGGAATTGGCAATCAGAGGACTATATCTTTCTGCAAGCCCATCAGGAAGCAGTGAAAGACTTTAGGCTCCTGAAAAATTCAAGCCTGCTTTCTTGGTCATTTGATGGAACAGTGAAGGTAATTTGAAGTACTGGCTTCTTTTATAAAAAGGATTCTAATACTGCACTGATTGTTTCATGAAGGCCAAAGCAGATGGATGTTAAGTTACTACCTGAATTGTTAAAATTTCTATTTTCTCATACCTGTTTTCTGTTAACTGCAGTCACCTACCTCTGCTGTGTGTTTATGAGCATTTGCACTAAAGGGTACTTACAGAGGTCAGAAGAACCGACGTGCTAAAGCTCCTGTTTTATAGCTCTGTCTTCTAGCTGATTGTGCTCAATCATACAAAATGTTAAAATGATCAACTTCTGAATTTTTCTTTGAAGGTATGGAATATTATTTCTGGAAGAATAGAAAAAGACTTTCCCTGTCACCAGGATACAGTACTTTCTTGTGATATTTCTCCCGATGTTACCAAATTTTCATCTACCTCCACTGACAAGACGGCAAAGGTCGGTGGGTCATTTGAAATGTGCATGAGTCACACTTTGGCATTCGTTGCACGTCATGAGTCCAGATAATGTATAAAACAGAATAATGCAGTTTCTGTCTACTTATCTGTCTCATATTTTGTGAGTGTTTGGAAGCTGTCTGCTGGCGTTTAGTTGTTGTCAGGTACAGTAAATAAATTACATTGAGGAATTTTATTTCTCCCTTACTGGTTGCTTTGTCTATTACTAATCAGTTGTAATCTGTACTGTATTGTAGGCAGGAAGGAAAAAATTGAAAGAGATTTACATTTAATTGCATACCCACAGTAAATTTTTATGTAATTGATATCAGTTGACACTTCCGAAAATCACATTCCAGTAAAATGATGCTTCTTGGTTGGGGGATATTGAATACCCCATTTTCTTCTTTTTTCTCTAACGATATTGGTGGCATCATTATCTGTTCATCTTTCCAAACTACAGGCCTTGCTATCCTGTCTTTCATGCCCCGTTGATGACTGCTCAGTGTGTCTTGGGTCCCCTTTTTGCCTCCTTGTCCCCATCCCTAAGGCCAGTCTCTCCCTTTTTCTTCACTGGTGGACCTGCCAGTGTCTGCACCTCCTCCCATTTTTCTTCCCTGTTGTTGCCCGAGTCCCCTCCTGAAACACTTCTCTTACCTGACAGTTTAAAGGCAAACACCTTCGTCTAGCACCACCCTTTCCTGCTGGACTGTTGCATCTGTGCCAGGTGGCTTCTCCTTCCATTCTTTTGTACATGCTGTTAACTTTGACTTTACAAAACCTACTTTTTTAAAATCACTCAGAAAAATGAATGTGGTTGAAAGTTGGAACTTGGGCTTCTCATGAAAGTTTATGAACTATTAAATGTTGGACTGGCCATGTGATTGAATTTCTGGTAATTCTGAAGCAGGATTTGCAAATGCTTATTTCAAGTGTAGTAACTATTCCTAAACAGTCTTCATTGCCTTTCAGATTTGGAAGTTTGAACCCTTTTCCCTTCTTCATGAATTGACGGACCACAAAGGCTGTGTGCGCTGCTCTGTCTTCTCTGCAGACAGCACCCTGCTGGCGACCGGAGACGACAATGGAGAAATCAGGGTAGGGTGTAGCTGATGTGAGAGCCCTGCCTTCACCTAACTGGGGCTGGCGCTCTGCCCCTCATGGGGGCTTTTGTTACTGTGACAGGGATGCATAGGTCTGGGGTCCTGGTTGGAGGGTTTCTTCGTTTTGCTGCTTGTGTTCACAGCTGCACTCCACTGCAGAGAAGGAACCATTTTAGAGTTAGAGGGAAGCGTTTCTTATATATGTAAGGAGGCAGATGCCCTCGTTATTTGCAGTTGGCTTTCTGCTATTAGCTTGAGAGTGATTCATCTCAATTCTTGGACTGGAACCAAGGTTGATTTTAGTGGCAGAATTTTGAGGGAAATAATTTTGTTATCTAGATTATAGATGAATTGCATATTCTGCTGTTTTCAGCACTGAGAGAAAAGATATCTATAGCACTATATCCAGTAGAGTCAACATTTACAGTGTGGCCCATTGCAGTCCTTGTGGGACTGTCTGCCTATGGTTCTGTTGGAAGGTTTGGACAGTTGATGGAAAATGCCTGGACATTGAGGATGGCTGCTATTTGGTAACCCTTGTACTTGAGAGTATTGTTTTTATTATTATTATTATTATTATTATTATTTTTTTTTTTTACAAAGGAGGATTTTAAAGGAATAGGTGTATCATGAAGAAGAATGGTTTCCAAGAATAGAGGCATTATCAGATAGGCTTTCCAGGAAAATTAAGGTTCTTGTTCATGAGCACTAAGTAACCATCTTTCTCTATTCCATTCTCATAAATGCCTTGTCAGCGAGGCGGGCTGTGGTAGGAACATTCATTTTGTTCTGAGTTCTCATCTTTGGATGAAAGGGTTACTTTACTGTTTGTGGGGCAGTGTTTTGTTTTTCAGAAGCCCCTGAAGGAAAATATTGCTCTTAAAATTTTTTGGTTTTCCATTTGATTATTTAGAATGCAGGTACACACACACAGACACATATATGTACACACATATGTATGCACACATTAGATAGAATATATGAATTGTATCTGTGTTACATGTATAGCTATCACATGTATATGACAACCAGATAAGCAGATATAAGAATATATATATATATATCTTATATACCTGTAGCTATCTTTTTTTTTTTTTTTTTTTTTTTTTTTTACCTGTAGCTATCTTATATCTGGAATTCTTTCTAATGATTTTTTCCATTTGGTTCTCTTGGATTTTCTTGGGAGATATTTGCAAATGATGATTTTGATTATTTTCTTTTGCTATTTATACCTATGTTTCTTCTTATTTCTGATGTTCATTTCTTTGAAAAATTAGATTACTGCTTATATATTATGTTCCTGGAAATAAATGGAAATGTTGTCATTTGTGATTGATTTACTTATAAGAGCCTAGTAAAATAATTTTAGAGTATATGTGTGTCTGTATATATATTTATTTAGAACCTTATAGAATGAAAATGTAAACACATATACATAGATATACTTAGAACTTACAGGGATTTACTTTTGGTATTTGAATATCATCTGTCAACTTTTTTTTTTTTTTTTTTTGGTCAACATTCTTAGTGGTAGCTCCTGGACTAGAATTTTTTCCTTACTGAGATATAACTGACATATATTAATACATTAGTTTTAGTTTTAGATATATGATGTAATGATTTAATATTTGTATATATTGTCAAATGACCACAGTAAGTCCAGTTAACACCCATCACCATCCGTATTTACTACATGTTTTTCCCTGGTAATGAGAATTTCATAGATCTGCTCTCTTAGCAACTTTCAGATAAGTAGTACAGTATCAACTCTAGACCCATACTGTATATTACATCTCTATGATTCATTTTATAACTGGAGTTTGTACCTTCTGGCTACCTTTCCTCATTTCCCCCACCTGCACCCTCATCTCTGACAACCACCAGCCTGTTCTCTGTACCTGTGAGCTTGGTGTTATGTTTGTGTATTTGAACTTTTTAGAGTCCACATATAAATGAGGTCATATGACATTGGCTTTCTTTGTCTGACTTACTTCATTCAGCATAATACCGAGTTCATCCATGTTCTCACAAATGGCAACATTTCCTTCTTTTTTATGGTGAAATAGTAAATTCATCCTGTATATACACCGCATTTTCTTTATTCATGCACTGATGGACCTTTAGATTGGTTCTGTATCTTGAATTCCTTGTGTTGTTTGAGGTAGTTTGTTAGCCCTTTTTAAATTTATTTCTTTAAAAAAAATTTATTTCTTGCTTCTTGTATTATTCTTTTTGTTTTTACTATTATTTTTACTTCTGTAATTTTTTCTAAAATCTGGAAATTTTCAGACATAATCAGAAGTAGAGAATATATAGACTCTGATATATTCATCACCCAGCTTTAACATTTATCAGTACATGGTCAATTTTGTTTATTTTCTCCCTCCCAGGTTATTTTGGAAATCAGTAGATATCATGTAGACAGATATGTCACATATCTATCACATATGTCACACATCTATCACAGATATGTCACATCCTGTAGATAGATAAGTCACTAGATATCATAGCGTTTAATTTGTAAATACTTAAATGTGTATCTCTAAAAAGGTAAGAACTTAGTAGACTGATGTGTCTCTTAAGAAACTTCTCCCATTTTCTCCTTTTTCCTTCTGGTTGGCTGTGTTTGTCTTGTGGACACCTCTACAGTCTGATTTTGCTTGTCTTGTGCAGCCTGTACTGTCTCTTAACATGTTTCTCTCTCTCTCTACTATTTGTTATAGAGTGCTGCGGCATTTATTTACATCTGAAAGTACATGTTTGAATTGTTTTTTTGTGTGTGTGTTCTTAGTGGCTATTGCCAAGATTAATTATTTTTTTACGGGTTGTAAAATGGTGATAATCTTAGTTTTTTTATTAAATGAGAAGAGTCACAGTATTTAATCAGTCACTATTTTTTTGTAGTCTAGTGAATGATACTCTCTCTGAGTAAAGTGTTTTTTTTTTTTTTTTAAGATTTATTTATTTATTTAAGCACTGGGTACAGTCAGAAGCATGGGAGGGTGAGAGAATTCACCAGAGCCAGAGCAGGGAGCAGAGCAGGCAGATTGACAAAGTACACTGCTGAGGGGAGCAGCGGGCTCGGCAGGAGAGGTCTGGGCGCCATGTGGGACCCTTGCTGGCGGCCAAGGATTGAACCGGCGCTGCAGAGGCTGCGGGCAGCTTCCCAGCCCAGCGCTCAACTACTGCGCCACCGGGGAGGCCCTGAGTAATGTGTTTTTAATGGTGCTTTTTAAGAGTTGAACAGGAGAGAAGACAGTCTAAAAAGATTTCTTTCTAAGGTATCACTGAGGTAGTATTTATGTTTTAAGAAAGATTTCCAGATATGTTCCAGGTGGTTTTATATATATATATACATTTTTTAACTTCTGGATAACCCTGTTAATGAATTGCATATCATGTTTATGTAGATATGGAATGTCTCAAATGGTGAGCTTCTTCATTTGTGTGCTCCGAGTTCAGTAGAAGGAGCAGCTGCTACCCATGGAGGCTGGGTGACCGACCTTCGCTTTTCTCCAGATAACAAAATGCTTGTTTCTGCTGGAGGCTATCTTAAGGTAAGAGCTCCTCAAAGACCGTGAAAGAAAACAGCTTATATTCCATTTTCTAAGCTATTTTCACTTCCTCAGTTGGACTTCTTACAACTCACAGAGTGGAGGGCAGTCGCCATTATCTCCATTTTGTGATAATGCTGAGATCTGCAAGACTGCTTTCCTCTTGGACGTTTTGATGACAGTGTTAGGAATCTACTCAGTCCACAGCTATTATACGGCCGATACAAAGTCCTAGATGGTCAGAGTCACTGGCAAGTAGGGTGTTTTCTCTTTACTTTTCACTTCACTAATAACTATTTTGGTTGAAAGCATATAAAAAGATAACTAGAGGGTAGTTTTTAGCTTCATGAGAGGACATGTATTACACGTTTGCATTGAAAATACAATGCTATCTATAAAAGATTGTGCTACCGGTACCTTTGGGGGTACACCTTTAATTTGAGTTATTAAGGGGAATCTGAGATGAACACCAGTTGTCTTCTTTCAGTGTAAAGGTGACTGCTCTGAGGATGAGGCTTAAAGGAGGGACACTACTGTCTTATTGTTAGAAACTGAGAGCCTTGAGCTATATTAGCTGTTGTAAAACAACTGCTCAGCTTTGACACCAACCTTCTTAGAGACCTTGTCTTTTGATGCTCTGGGTCCCATAGAAGGCAGTCACATAATCCTGAGTCTGGCTTACATGACACTGTTAAAGATCAATGACCAGGTTTCCAGGGTTCTTAGAGAACCTTGAAATAAAGCAGCAGAATAGATGTCTGCAGTGTAGCAGTTATGTCTTAAGGGTGGAAGAACCTATAGTCTATATGCTCAGTCTGTATATCTCAGTGACCATCATGTGCCTCCCCCTCGGGTTTGATTACTTGCACGGTGAGCTGAGTACGATGTAGCCCAGCCCGTGTCTTCCCTGCATGTTAATGAGACCATACAAAAGTGCAGAGTAAATTAAAAGTAAAGAGGAACAGCTGCTGTTAGTGTCCAAGAAAATAAGCCTTTGAGACTGTTTACTTTAGAATCTAAGCTGTATAAATTAAATGTCAGTAAGATAAAGTAGTTATGCAGTAGCTAAAAAAGCTCTTAACTTTGAAAATTATTCCTATTTATAAGTTAATAAATGATACCATTTAGCTGTACTTGTGTTATACCACAGAGCAGATACTGTTAGAATGACAAGAAGTCCACATTAATCCATATTTATGAGGGAAAGGCAGAGTTGAATATAGTATTTATGGAGGTATGTTCAGATTTGCCGTCAGCTGCAGCCAAGTGCAGCAGCCAGGAGAAGGGCTCAGGGCTGGCTGCCTGAAATTAGTCTGGCTCTGCCACACGGTGGCTTTATGATGACTATTTGGTCCCTGTGCTTTGATGTTTTCATCTGTAAAATGGGCACAATATTTACCGCAGAAGGTTGAGAGGGCTAAAGGCATAAATACCTATAAAGCTCTTACACAGAGTGACACATAGTGTGCCCTGCAGAAATGTTACCTTCTAGGCTTTTTCCTAACTCAGGTTATTAGCACGGTGTAGATTCACAGCAAAACTGAGCAGGAAGTACAGTTTCCACATACTTCCTGCCTCCACAAATGCATCCTTCCCTCTCTCCATATCCCTATCAGTGTTACGACTGTTCCAGCTGATGAATGTTCTTTCATGCATATCATCACCATCGTCATCCAGACTCCTTCTTTTACACAAGGGCTCACTTTTGGTGTTCATTCTGTGAGTTTGAGAAATGGATATGAAATGATACAATCCACCATTGTATTATCATAGAAAATAATTTCACTGCCCCCCACCCCCAATCCTCTGTATTGGCTGCTATTATCTTTTAGTATCACTGTTGTTATTTCCATACTCAAACCATGCCCAGGTGTAGTGTTTCCAAGTAGTGACCCATTCTACTAGAGGGAAAGTGGTGGGAGCACTAGATTTGGAGGTCAGAAACTGTTCACCTCGCCACCTGCTACCGGTGTCATGGTGGACGGGTAACAAGGCCTTTTTCCTCTCAGAGTCCTGGTTTCCTTATTTGTAAGATGAGGTGTTTGGACTAGGTGATGTCTGAGGACCTCACTCCCTCTTCCACTGGCCCCTAGCAGCTGAAAACTAGAGCACTCTCAGCTCGGTGGAATGTGTCCTCTGCAATCTTAATTGCCTTCTAGTTTTCAAAGCAAAATTGTGAGCTTTGGAAATTTTTAAGTTAGTACCTCAAGTAAACATGTCATCATGAGGTTAACTGAAGCCCACAGGTAATACTTTTACCAGTTACTGTTACTGATCGTCAGCATGAATAGCTGACCCAGTCAGGTGCAGGACGCAGGGCACTGCCATGGATGCAAAAACCCCACTGCTGTATTTGTGATGCTTGGAATCTTGGTGAACTTGAGGGTTTTTCAGGAGGTGTTGATGTGTATCATCTCTTTTACCTCACGTCAGCTGTGAGGTAGAGGGGTCAGCTATGTAAATATTGTCATAATCTTAGCGAATTCAGTGATTGGGAGGAGAAGGGAAGGCCTTGGCCAGAACACATACTATATTTGAGATGTTTAACATTTATTTGGCAAATGAAAGATAGATTATTTTATGAAGAAACTTGGTCATGGGCTACTGAGTCAGTCTTGATGAGAGGAAAGATTCAGTAGAGAAAACATTGTATCCCATGGCCCATGTTCTGACTAGTCTTGGTGTCCGCCACCGAGCAGTCTGTCTTCAGAGGGGGGTTGTGAGGGAAGGGAGGGCTGTTCTTCTGGCTGTGGTGGACCTGTCCAGCCAGGGCCACAGTGAACTTGGTGTCACTTGTACTCACAGCTCTCAGCAAGGCTCGATTTTCCTGCCTGCCTGCCGAGGACTAAGGGTGGGGTAGCAGAGAGCCTCTTTCCAGGTTCATCAGGGACGCCTGAGGGGGGCTTCAGCACTAAACCTCAGACTTCTCTCCTGTTGTTTGGGAGGGGGACGTGGTAGGAAAAGGATTTGGCTGGCGCTATAAATTGCCACGCGGTATATCACCAGTCTAATGAGAAATTTGTTTTTCTCTGAACAGTGGTGGAATGTTGTCACTGGGGAGTCCTCGCAGACCTTCTACACAAACGGAACCAACCTTAAGAAAATACACGTGTCCCCCGACTTCAAAACATGTGTGACTGTTGATAATCTGGGTATTTTATATATCTTACAGATTTTAGAGTAAAATATTAAGCATTAATATAGGCTGAACATTTGATTTTGAATTGAAAAAGAATTCTAATGAAACTGTATTTCAACTCTTTATAAAGCTGTGAATTATTTTGCAGTATTGCATTATGAAAGTGTTTGTGGTTGGATGAATAATATTTTAATGTAGCTTTTCCCCAAATGAACATACCTTTTAATCTTGTTTTTCATAATCATCATTATTGTTAACAGTTTGTCCTTAAGATGCAAATGAAAATGTAAATATGTACCTTGTTGTACTGTTGGTAAAGTTCTCTCTTGATGCATTCAAATTGGTTGACATAATTAATTTGAAGGAAACTGTATTTTAATACTTTCATTATGCAGGCTGTGCCTCAAGCTGTGATGGCCTGCATTCTGAACCACACTTACCCCGAGGGGATATGGTTCTCTCCAATATGAGCTTGGAGCTTATTTGCACCCCTTAAACTTGCTTTAAAAATATTGTGACTCTGCACACATTTTGCATCATTTCCTTTAATTCACTCAATAAGTGAATTTTGGATCTTAAAAGTTCTTTCTGTGACGCACAGTTACGTGTGTGGGAAAGAGGATTGTCTGCCTTTTCCTTCCTGGCGACGGCAGCCCGGGCCAGCGCTGGGCTCCAGGTGCTCGTGTCCGAGTGGAGTGCTGACCTGCTTGCTCTTTTTTTTTTTAAACCACCAGACCTCTTACTTGATTGAACTTGACCTTCTTGAGTCCTTGTTTGTTTTTTTTAAGCAGTTGCTCACCAGTTTAATGTTGGAAAATCAGAATAATTGGGGAGGCGCATATAATCATGGTTAATCATACATTTTAACAATAAAAGTTTGCTAAGAAATCTAAAATAGTGAAAAATAATTTCTTCTAATCCCTATTATTTTTAGATAAATGGCATCGTCAACAGTGTTTTTCTCTTAGTAAAGTTCAAGATAATTCTCTCTGGTTTTTCAATGCGATTCCAGCAACTTGGTCAGGACTCTAGAAATGTTATTTTTAACCTTCCAAGCAACCTTGCTGTCTGCCCCTTTCCCCATCTTTTCTCCTCTTCTTCCTCCTTTTTTCCCCTCCCTTCCTCCCTCTAAGGTTAATCAAGAAAGATAGTTCTGACAGGGAAATAGCACATCAGCGTTAATAACTTTTTTGACCTCCTGATTAGGAACTTTAATTGAAATTTAAATCTAAATGGTTTCCTTGAAATGCATTCAGGGAAATGGTGATAAATTTAATAATAGATGTGGTCTATATTTTAAATTTTACAAAAGTTTTTGTTTCTGCAACAAGAACTAAATCAGTTAGTAGTGGTGTTAACAGTAGATGAGCAGTGAGCCAGTTTCTGCTGTTGGCGGTGCATGTTAGGAGCGGAGGGATGGGTGCGGGAAACTGGCCCTCCCAGGTATATTTTAGATTAGCTGTTCCTACTTAGCATTTGAGGGGACCTTAATTAGAGTGAATAAAATCTTCTACATTGTTGAAGAGGTCGTTTCGTTTTTTAATGGTGGGTTGAAGAACTAGTTTACAGACTTACCGTCATTTAAGCAAACATGATGTGAAAATCTTAATTTTATGAAAAGACGTTTCTGTATGTATTTACTGCTTAGAGTATTTAAATCATAAATTGATTGCATACAATAGTTAAAAGCTCATATCATCTCTAGTTAAAAGCTCATATCATCTCTAGTTCAGAATATAAAGTATTAACTTTGGAATTAAAAGTCACTTGGCTGTTAAAGTATAACAACAAATGTCAGCTTCTTCAAAACTTTGACTGGCCCCTGTCTTAAAAGTTAATTAAAAAGAAAACTAGGAAAGACAGACGAGGTAACGCGAGGAAAGAAGAGACGCCTAGTGTGATGGAGGTGCATGGTCTGTGGCTGTTGTTCTGTGTTTGCAGACCAACATTTTTCTTCTCTGCTAATTTTTTTTTTCTGAATTGGAAATTAAATTGCTTTTTGTATACATAAAGTTTTTTTTTTACTTCGTGTGTGTCTTGTGTTTTGAAATGATGGGTTTCATATTTATGATACAATTTATAGGATTTTTTTGATGTTAGTATTCATTTTAAAGACATGAATTTTAAAAATTTTATGAAAATAAAATTCCTAAAATATTTCTGAGAAGCATTTTTGGGTTGTTTCAGCTTCCTTGTTTGTCCTTTATCTCTCAATGAGAAAACAAATGTGATTCTTCAAACTAAAGCCCATCGACGCTTTATTAGTTATGTGCAGATTGCATCAGAATGTTCTGCCTTGGCTGATTGCTGCCCAGTGTGGCTGCATGGAGAAGAGTCACTTCTCTACTCACTTTTTTCATTCATTCAGTAGATACTTGTGGAGATCTAACCCAGCTTGACATTGTTCAAGGTGTTGGGAGCAGCATTGAGCAAAACAAAGTCCTTGCCAGCCTCAATTGTGGGCTAAGGAGAGGCAGAGAAAATGTCAGTAAAATCTCCCAGTACGAGTTGGCTTGTGTGTGTACAGGGGAAGGGGTTACAGAGTTAAATGCTGCTGCTGGTTGAAAAGGAGACACTTGAGGGCCTCCCTGGTGGCACACGGGCACAGATCTGAAAGCAGGGGAACGAGCCACACAGCAGAGATTGACAGAGCATTTCCAGGCTAGAGTCCAGCAGGTGCAGAGACTTGAAGGAGGGACATTCCTGTGCTGGCCAGGGGCTGGTGTGGCTGAGAAGCCCAAGTGAGGGGAGTGTGATCGGAGACACGGGCACACTGGAGGCCCTTGAAGACCGTAAGAACTTTTACTCTGAGATAGGAGCCACTGGAGGAATTTGAGCTGTGAAACAATCTGATTTGAGCTTAAATTTGCTCACGCTTGCAGTGGGAACCAAGTGACTGTCAATTGAAAATGGTGGGGGTGGGTGGGATGATGGAGTTTTGTGGAGTTGCGGGTCCTTGGGGTCACTCTGGGAAAGGTTTCACCAGAGCTCCCGTTTCAGCGGCACGTGGCGAGTTTCCCAGGCGAGTTTCTCCAAGAGGCAGAGACATTAGTTATATTTAAAGAGCAGGTTTATTAGGGAAAGGAAAAGGAACAGGTTTTGCTAAGAGAGGCCTGCATGGTTGCAGGAGGCCCTGACAGGTCACGGCAGGCAGGAAGCTGCTGCCCTGCAGAGGTAGAGAGTTGGTGAAAAGAAGCACCTGCACAGTCACAGGTGGGCGGTGGTAGTGCTGCACCGAGCCTGTGCAGAGACTGCCCTGATATATAGTCCCCTTCTGTTTGGGAGGGGTCACTCCTTCGTGGAGTGGCCTGTTTGCTGCTGATTTGGGATAACTAGGGTTCAGAGATTCCAGGGTGGGCCCAATCTCCATATCTTCACCCTCAGGCCTGTGCTCCACTCCCTGTGGCATCTGATCCTGCTGGGGTCTCTCGCCTTGTGATAAGGCACTGGTGCCTGAGGGGCACGACCTCTGCAGCTGGGTTAATGGTCCTGTTATTCCCCTCGGCCCCCACCTCCCTGTGTGAATCAGGTTTTAGTCTTGTGAGGCCTCCATTCCAGTTTTTCTATTCTTGTCTTCCATCAGGGACAGGCAAAGGTAGAAGCAGAGACTCCAATAGAGAATTTTTCCCAAGATGAAGTGAGACAAGACCAGGGTGACAGCAGCAGAGGCTGTGACTATTGGATTCTGGGTATATTTCGAAGCATGAGTAAGGTTTCCTGAAGGCTTCGATTAAAATTATGAGAGTCGATTGAGACCAAGGTTTGCCTCTTGTATTGAGCAGCTGGGAGTTGCCATTAACTGAGAGGAAGGAGGTTTTTGGTCATATTGTAAGTTTGAGATGGCTGTTAGGCATCCTAGTGAGGATGTTGAGTTAGGTGGTTGCATAAAAAGCCTCTGGAGTTCATGGAAAAATCTATGCTGGAGCTATAAGTCCCAGAGTCACCTATGTGAATTGATGGTATTTGAAACCAGAGGGCCAGAGAGATCAGCAATAAAATAGGTGTAGGTAGACAAGACAGGAGGTTGGAGGCTGAGTCCAGGGCAGTCTGAGGCTGGTGAGATGAGCGGCCAGCACAGGAGAAAGACCAGCAGAGACTACATATTGCAATTCAATGTGGTAAGTACAGTGAATGCATTGGGTGTGGGCTCCTTAACTCAATGTGCCCTTGGACAAACTCCTGTGTCGGTTAGCCAGCCGCTTATGTATCCTATATGCCTTGAAATTACTGTGTGCCAAGCACTATTTTCAACAACAGGCAATAAAATACGTTTTAGTTGTTACGGGGAGAATGAGGACAATAGATAAGAAAACATCGATTGTTTTCACCTTAACAAGCGCATTAGGTTTTTCTTCTACAAGGTGATTGTGAGGATTAGTAAAATAATGAAGTAATATCCCAGTGGTTAGAACGAGAAAGTGCTTGATGAACATTCCTTGGTGCTATTTGGGTCCCATCATCCTTTGCCTGGCAAGTTTCTGACAGCGCTCTCTGCACCAGGCCCCTGAAGACGGGTGCTTGGATAGCATTCCTTGCCTAGACCCCTCTCCGGAAGACTGAGTAGACAGTTATTAAAATGCCTGAATTAGAAAATCAGCTGCTATTTGGCTGTGAATGTAACCACAGAAGAAGTGTTGTGTCATCGTGTGTAGTCACAGGGCAGAGGCAGAATTTGAACCGAGCCCGACACACATCAGAGTTGAGGCCTGTGAAGTCGTTTGGCGCCAACAGCGACTCGCTCGTGAGTCCAACGACGCGAAGACCAGAACATGAGAAATTGTCATTTCAATTAGGAAAAAGGAGTCGCTGAGGCTCATTGTAGATTCCTGTGTGAGGCCAGACCCTGGGAACTGGCGTACGGCCTATCACAACCAGCCAGAGTCTGCCGTGTGAGTTCCCATCATCAGGGTTAGCATCGAAGGGAGCATTCCAGGCCCCAGTTTGGGCCTGGCGCTCCTGAGAAGCTGATGTGAGATGTTTCCTCCCCTTTCTGGCCAATACCCAGCCCTCACGTGCTCATTACAGTATGTTGAGTGGATGCGGCACACCAGGCTGCCCCCGCTCACCGAGGGAAACGAAACCCCACGCAGTAGCCGCGGACAAGCCAGGGCTAGAGTCCAAATGTGATTTTTTTATAGAAAGACCCAGGCCTACGGAGCCACAAGGTGAGTCTCTACTTGGCATTTCCGACTCATCTTCAATTAGCAGCGACTCTATTTTTTTTCAAAATTTATTTATTTATGCATAGAAGAACTGGGGTACATACAGGCCAGAGGTGAGAGGACTTCCCAGAGACAGAGTGGGGAACAGAACAGGCAGACTGACTAAAATACACTGCTGAGGGGAGCAGCAGGCAAGACAGGAGAGGTCTGCTGCACCATGTGGGTAGCTCCCTGCCAGGGAATGGAACTTGTGCTGCAGAGGCTGCGGTTAGCTTCATAGGTTGCATCTTAACCCCTTGCGTCACCAGGGAGGCCCCTCTATTTTTTTATTGTATTTTTTTTCTTACAATGTTTGCTTTCTTTTCTTAGGTGTAGTCCCCATAGAATTCCCACCACCAACTCACCCCTGCACCATCTCCACAGTCCCTTGTGCTCTTCCTGCCCTCGGTTTGATCCGTTTCCCTCCCCCTGCAGAATGTCTCTGATGCATAGTTGTCTGGATATTTCTGTTCTGTTTGAAGATTCATGTGTTTTTGTTGTTGTTGTTGTTGTTATTTTTTTTCCCCCTCGATCCCCTATAGTCCTCCTAGAAGTGAAACCATCCAGTATTTTTCTTTTTCCTTCTGACTTATTTCTCTGAGCACAATCCCTTCCAGCTCCATCCATGTTTAGCAGCAATTTTAAACCCTTCATCTTGGGTCTGTTTGCCCTGCTTTGTCAAGTAACTTTCTGAAATATCATGAACCCTTTCTAGGAGGAAGAGGAAGCTACTTTTTTGTTTTTTAAGGACTTATTTAGGGCCTCCCTGGTGGCACAGGTGGTTGAGCACAGCACTGTGAAGCTGTCCGCGGCCTCTGCAGCGCAGGTTTGATGGCGGCCGGCCGGCGAGAATCCCCCATGGCGGGGCAGACCTCTCCTGTCTCACCCGCTGCTCCCCTCAGCAGTGTTTTCGTCAGTCTGCCTGTTCTGTTCCCCACTCTGTCTCCGGTGAATCCTCTCACCCTCCCGCGCATCTGGCCTGTACCCCAGTTCTTGTATAAATAAATAAATAAATAAATCTTTAAAAAAAGGACTTATTTAACTGAAGTCTCACAACAAGTTTGCAAGATTATCTGTCTTCTAGATGTGAAAACAGATGCGGAGAGATGAAACCCCCAGGGCCTGGCAGCCAAGCTAGAGCTAGGATTTCTGTCCCCCCACTGTCTCCCTCACAGAGCCCCTGGGCTGGATCCGGGAACATCGTTTCATTCATTATTCATTCATTATTCATTTCTCTCTTTCCCTTCACGCATCAGAACTCATCCAGGACCTGAGCCCGAGATGTCACTGGTGGCCCCTGTTCCTGTGGAGCTTCTACTTTTGGGGTTCTGATGAATCCACCTCCGTGCCTGCAGGGGTTGCTCTGGAAAGCGCAGCAGGGGCCCAACAGACTGCAGAGATGGAGGGGCATTTTGAGTTTGCCAGCACTTGGCCATTGGCCAGCCTGGCCTCAATTCTCTGATAATTCAAGCATTGATCAGGGAAGGTGGCAGCTTCCTGGCCCCGCAAAATGCTGTCCCTACTTTGAAACTCTACAGGGGTCACTGCAAGTGTGCAGCAGGGCTGTGGGGCGTGGATCCTGTGCTGTCTTCTGCCGACTTGATTTCACTTGTCTTCTGCCGACGTCCTTTCTCCCTTTCCTTCCACTTGAAAAGGTGCAACCTCTGTGGGCCTCAGTTTCCTCATTTGACAAATAGGGGTCACAACACCTAACTGCAGTTTTGTGAGTCTGAAAAACTAAGGTAAACACCCGACACAGGTTTCAACAAGGGGCAGAGTGATCTTTTGTCTCAGTTACAAATCCCCATTCCTGTGCTGCCTGTTTCCTTGGCTTACACGTTGGGAAACTGCGGCTTCTGCCCGTGGAACTTGCCTGCTCCTGGGCATCCTGCCCCATCAC